TGTACAAAGTGCATTAAGCAGATAACACAAAGAGATTAATTAAAAATACAAAAAACGGAGGAAAAGACCTAAAAATTTGTATCACGTATAGAGTGGGGTCTAAAAATTCCGAGGCAAACTACTTGTTGATATTTAAATGTTTAGTCCGAAATTATTCCAAGCTGCTGTTATGCCATAAGAGATTGTTGAAAAAGTTACTTGCGCGAAGAGAGTTGCGACGATAATTAGTGTTAGCTCTAGGTATTTCTAAAGGTTGGGTACGTCCTATGGGTAATAATAAATAGTAGTAAAATATCTTATGGTAAATTAACAGAGAAATTTCCTACCTGCATAGTGACACTTTCTGCTACGTTTGTGCGGACTAAGCTCCGCCCGAAGAAAATATTGAAAATAAAGACATTTTAAATTTTGTAGTTGGTAAATTGATAGCTTATCGTATCACGGTATTTCTTCTTACGAGGATACGTTTTTAAGTTCGCGGAATGGGTAGGTAGGTAATAAGTGGGGACGTCGCTGAATTACGTGCTAATTGAGCAACTCACTATTAGTATAAATACCGGGTTTTATTGTAATTAGATCATTAGTCTTTGAGTTATCGTCAACCAAACAAGTCAATCGGGAAGAAATTGTGAAATATGGAGAAAATCGAGTTCAGTGCCGTTATAAAGTTTCTTACCAAGCGCGGAAAATCAGTTCAGACTATACTGGAAGAGATGTCATCCGTTTACGGAGACTCTTATCTAAGTAAAACTATGGTTTACAAGTGGCATACCCTTTTTTAACAAGGCAGAGAGTCACTTGAAGACGACCCACGGCCAGGAAGGCCGATCGAGGTGACCACTTTGAAAATTATTAAAAGTCGAAAAATTAATATAAGAAGATGCCCACCTAAAGAAAAAACAGCTCGCAGAAATGGTTGGAGTATCAGAACAACCATTTTCAAAATTCTTCATGAGCATCTTGGTATGACTAAAGTCAGCACCAGGTGAGTGCCTGGAGTGCGTGGAGTGTTCTCGTGCATTTTTGGAGCTCTGTATGGAAGACAAAGACGGAGTGTTGGCTCGAATTGTTACTGGTGACGAAACTTGGGTTCTCCATTATGAACCTGATTCCAAACGGGACTCTATGCAGTAGCACAAAAAAGGCACACCATCACCCAAGAAATTTAAGGTGGCACAATCGGCTGGGAAAATCATGGCGACAGTCTTTTGGTACTCAGAAGGAATCATATTGATTAATTATAAAGATAAAGGTGTCTCCATAACTGGAAATTACTACGCTTCATTCTTAGAACAATTGAAGGAAGCCATAAAGGAGAGAAGAAGGGGAAAGTAATCCTTCTGCACGACAATGCGTCTGTTCACAAGTGCCATGTAGCGATGGCTGCCCTGTAGAAGGTGGGCTTCGAAATTTTGCCACATCCTCCGTATAGACCTGACCTGGCCCCCAGTGATTATTACCTATTTCCAAACTTAAAAAAGAACTTCGTAGTAAAAAGTTTTTAAGTGATGAAGAAGTGAAGGAAGCATTTTCGGGCAATTTTTTAGAAAATGACAAATCTTTTTTTTTTGAGGTTATACATAAGTTAATTGAAAGATCCGAAAAATGTATTAGGGTAGCAGGTGAATATATTAAAAAAGAAAAATAAATTTGGATTTTTATATCCACTCCTTATCCCCCCATTCCGCGAACTTAAAAACGCACCCTCATATATCTTCAATAATCAGGTGGAAAGGTATTATTTTATTTGTTATACTAAGTGCTAATTATCAAGGTGTTCAAGAGAGGGTTGTAGGTAGCTCAAATTTTTCAAAACGCTTGAACAATATAATATGCAATAACAGTTTCATTATTTTATGGATGCTATAACCAATATCATTTAGGAGCTGACTCCATATTGGTCCCTACGGGTGACCATAATGAAAGATTGCACATTGGAGCGTGTAATACAGTTGGTGGGCAACTAGCTATTGACTGAAATTCTTAGTACTAAGTAGAGAGGTACAACATTACTAAGTAAGTATACATGTGTGTGTGCGCAGCACACCTACATACAATCATATGAATATAAGATAGGTATCATCATATAACAAATTGTGATCCACTGTTAGATTTATGTTTTAAGACGCGCCATTTAGCTTGTTTTTCGATTTTATTTGTCCAATTTAATCAACGCCAGCTGCCTTAGTTTTTATCTAGCCAGAGGGGTATTCCTATCAAGTTTTGAATACCTCTGTGGTCCAGTGGGCATAAGCGCGACTGCACATTATATTCCGAATGTCGGCTCTAGTCAAAATTAGTTATTGGGTTTCATTGCCAAGAAATTCAGTCAATCAGCCCGGACTCAGGAAGTTTGTAGTGTTTCACCCCCGTACCTCGAGAGGACATTTACTCAGATACGGTTTCTCCCGTAAAGTGCGCCAACATCAATAATTGTATCTGTATGACAATTATTCGCCCTTTCTTTTGCAATCACAGATGACGACGGCTCCGTAGGGCAGTGGCTTAGCAATGAGTTGTTGCGCTGGGGGCCGCGGGTGCGAATCCTGCTCGGAACAAGAATTTGTATTGTCTACAAATAATTGTTACGGGTCTGGATGTTTGTACTTGTGCAATTTATGTTTGTAAACTGCCTCCACGACACAGGAGAAAATACTAGTGTGGGGGTAATGTTATTAAATAAAAAAAATCACACGAAAGGCTTTGTTGATGAAAGGATATGCATTGAACTACACTATATAGTATGTATACGCGCCACTAAATATAAGCATTAAATACTCTATGTTACTATATTACAAAAAAAATTAGAGAGGTTCTAATTTTATAGCAAAATCATCTTGACTATTAGAAATGGTTGAGGGTAGATTGAAGTAGGCAATAAAAACATTGTTGTAGGGTACAAAAGAAAACAGATAAACGGTGATAATGAAACTAACATACAAATCTTGAAAATACTACATTTTGGTACGAATTTAACGTCTCTATCACTGGCACTGGATCTGAGACGTGGCTCTTCACTCACGGTCGCTCAGCGAGCTATGGACAGGGCTATGCTCGAGGTCTCTGCGTGATAAACGTAGAAATGAGGATATCCGCAGTAGAATCATAGTGACCGACATAGCCCAACGAATTAGTAAGCTGAAGTGGCAATGAGCCAGCCATATAGCTGGAAGAACCGACAACCGTTGGGGAAGAAAGGTTCTCGAGTGGCAACCCCGGCGAAGCGTATGGCTTCCCCCCACTAGATAGAGTGACGACCTGGTAAGACATGCAGGAAGTCGATGGATGCAGGTGGCTCCGGACCGTGCTTTGTGGCATTCCATGGGGGAGGCCTATGTTCAGCAGTGGAGTTGTGAAGAGCTGTAATGCATCACCATTATAGCTTTTCATGAAGACATGAATTAACCATTTTTAAAATTTGTGTCGGTCCATTTGTGTGCTTGTCTGTTTGTCTGTCCGGGCTTACCTTCGGAATGGCTAAACCGATTGTAATGACTAATGAAACTTCACGAATAGATACAGAGCAATGCCAGGAGTAATTTATGCTATATTTTATCTGAAATACTATGAGAATAAAAAAACTTTTAAATAAATACTACTAATAACGCCACATTAATAGATCCTACCCAGGGGACGGCAGGGCACGCCGTAAGTACCTACTGTACCTAGAGCTATGTTAGCTCAGCGTTTCTCACCCTGTCAAGAAACAGGTCAATTTTCTGTTTCAACTTAAATGTTGATTGCAAATTTAAACTAATTGTTGTAATACTACGCGGTAATAGGTAATATTATGAGTGCATAATATAAAGTTCGACTACTTTCAATGGAGCTATAAAACGAGCATTGCTTGATCCAGCACCATCGCAAAAATGAAAGGTCTGAACCTATAGTTGGAGCTCGTGTGGACCCTTTCTTTACTTTTTTATATAGTATCTTAACAAAGTAATAAGGAAATAATATTTCTAACATTTTGAGAAATATTAAAAGATATCATTGTGATCGTAACGTTGTGGTCATCAAAAAAAAATCACGCAATATCGTGTTCTAAGATGTCCGTATTTTTGATTAAAAGATATTGCGACTCTATGGAACGAAGATGTGTGCAACGTTGATAACTGGCTCGACAAGTCACCATACCGCCTGATACAAATTGTAAATTGTCCTACCGTTAACCGGCTTTAGTACTGATTGAACAGAGCATCGGACAACACGCAATCAATTTTTTAAATTATTAAACTGTAAGTTTATCAGCTATTATATTTATTAAGTTATGAATAAATATTATATAATTAATAATCATTTTCTACTTAGCCCGTAAACAGTTAATTTGAAATTACAATTCTCTTTAATTTAATTAGCGTACCTTAAGCAATGAAATAAATTATGCACGCATTGTTCATTTTTGCAGATGTTATTCGCGTTTTGTTTTTATAGTCCATTAATATAAAGTATTCTTTGCTATACTCTTGAGTTTTACCTAAACTAAAAAGCAGTTGGTGAATTATATATAATAGCATATTGTACGACGTATGAAATATACATAATATTATTACAAGTTTAAACGAACAGCAACCGCACTATTGCTTCAGTTAATAAACCAAAATTATTATACCTATTTGAATCATCATACATAATATATAACTTTTAAGCAATTAAAAAAAGAGATTAAAAGAGCCAAATGTAGACGACTGCCTATATTTTATAAAGAACATATCATCATAGTTCAAAATAATAGTGGTATTTTTATAAGTTACTAAATCAGTTTGCTATGTAGAAGCAAAACATAAAAGGAACATGTCGTATTTTTCCACAGTTGATAAAAAAATCAAATAAAACTATCTACAATTGACAGATTTGTTATCTGAATCTGAAATTTATAATAATTACGCTTTTCTCAAGACTGTCTAAATGTCCTAAAGTGTACATACCTACCATAATATGAATATGTTTTTCTAAACTGTGACAAATTCTAATCAATTTCAAATTTATATAGATTCGAAATGGGACTGGATATTAAATCAGTTCTAGTTGTTGACGGCGTTGGAGCTAACTGCACTGAAATATTAAATTCACATGGCATCAAAGTCACAAATAAAGCGAAGATCACAAAAGACGAACTCTTAAAAGAAATTCCGGTAGGTTTTTTGTTACTCTATGTTTTATGAAAAATAGAACTTTAACAGCTTAATTTTTATGACGACCTTTAAACAAAATGCAATGCACGCTATTCGGATTCCGGAGATTTATATATCAACATGGACTTAGTATGTGGACTAGAAGCCGTGATAGCTCAGCGGTCTAATGCTCTAGCATTCGGTACTGATTTAAGTACACAATCAACTGTTCTTCAATTCCCTTGCACTGAAATCACTAAAATCGATATTTCCATTTTTAAATAAGTAGGTACCGATTTGTAGTCCATTGACACGCCCTGGAACAATGAGACGCGGTCCAAGTCCAACGACTTATCAAAATTAAATGAGCGTTCTTTATCTAGCACTGCATCGTTTAATACAATTTCCTCTTTAAGTTTTCTTTTATTAGTAAGTCAAACTCAATGATGTAAACAAAATTTTACTTTTCAGTACCATCTCATTTATATTAGTAAACAAATATATATTTGATTTACCTTTGCATCGAATTTTTTTCAACTCAATAAAGTTGTATTCATCAAAAAAAAAATATTTTTCAGAATTACGAAGCACTTGTGGTCCGTTCGGCATCTAAAGTCACAAAAGAGATTCTGGACGCTGGAAGTAGACTTAAAGTTGTAGGCCGCGCCGGTGCCGGCGTCGATAATATCGACGTTGAGGCAGCCGGAAAAAAAGGAATCGGAGTTATCAAGTAAGCTTGACGTTTATGGTTTTTAGCAAAATTTGTACAGGAAACAATACTGTCTTCATTCTTTACGTAACACGTTAACTTCAATTAAGCGAATCGATCATAAGATATTTCTCGTTTGTTTAATGAAAAGCATGATTATCTTAGTTTTTTCGTTCTGCTTCCATAAACGAGAATGGTTTGGCTGGATAGATAATTATATGAATATAATAATAAGTGGGACTAATCATTTAGTATTCTTCAGTTTGCCACATTACAGAATGAGCAATGGCGCCACGTGTAGTTACATATACACGAGTTTTGCTAAGTCTGTACCGCAGCGCATTTCATTGCATTATGTTGATAAACAATTCAATTGCAAAATGTACAATGTCTATTGTATCATTCGAGTATTTGTTTTTATTTGTCGTTTTTTCTAAGAAAACTTCTGTTTCATATGTATGGTTTGTACAAAGCCAATATTGTCCAAATTGTTTTTCTTGGATCTAAATTTTCACATTTATTTTTTCCTTTAACTTTTTTGGGTCTCATAACTACAGTTTTGTAACATTTTTCATAGTTATTTTAAAACTAATCTTATAAATTTAATACTGAACTAATATTATTATTGTTCATCAGTTCGTAAAAGTTCATTTTTGAATGGGGGCTTCTCCATTTTTGAAGAAGATTTGTCTTAATCACAATCGCCAAGCTTGATAGGCAAATTTTCGATCGCCAGGTACCAGACTTTCAGATTGTACGTCCGGCATAAAAGAGTTGACTATATATGCCTCCTTTTACGATTCTACGGCGCAATATGGAGCAATATATTCTCTTACACGGCAACTCGACATAGACATGGCAAACTAATTACCTATATTGGTTAAATTAAAACTAAACTAGTTATCGACTCGTATTATATATGTAATAATTTTACTCACTCAAGCGTCACTATCGCTGTGTAAGTTTATTGTATTAATGATATTACGTGCGTAGCTTTGTACATCTGAATATTTTCACATTTTCCGAAAACTGACTCTGCAATAAATATAACTTTTATATATATAGCCCAACGGATTAGTAAGCTGAAGTGGCAATGGGCCGGCCATATAGCTCGAAGAACCGACAACCGATGGGGAAGAAAGGTTCTCGAGTGGCAGCCTCGTACCGGCAGGTGAAGTGTAGGGCGTCCTCCCACTAGATGGAGTGACGACCTGGTAAGATATGCAGGAAGTCGATGGATGCAGGTGGCTCAGGACCGTGCTTTGTGGCATTCTATGGGGGAGGCCTATGTTCAGCAGTGGACTTGTGAAGGGCTGTAATGATGATGATGATGAATAAATTTTAATACAGTACTAGATCTGTCTCTACTACTGGCTATAAATGTAACATTTCATTATTTAATAATTTTTAATATTTAATATTATAAAATTAGAATAAAGTTGTTGACTTCAAAGTTCGCATACGCTTACAGTCATTGTATTCTTATCGTACTAATAATAATATTCAATAGATGATAAGTATCATACACAATAACTTATTACTCTTTGTACTCATATAAGACCCAGTATAAAATAATAATTTCCAAATATAAATCTAGGAATAAGTAGGCTGAGGTGGCCTCATAACACAGAGAACTTACAATCATTGGAGGATTATTTTCTAATACTAATACAAGTCTTATCAGAATGGCTTGTAACATCCACTTATGAACAGTGGTTTATTTTGTTCCCATGTTCGATGACTATTTTTCGGTCAATACTCCGTAAAATATTTTTAACGCATTTTTACTACTATATATCAATAACTTTCTTATAGATACCGGCTATATAACTGTATTATTAAGATCTAAAGCTATAATAGACAATTTTTGTCAAATGTATGTAAATTTTATTTAGTTAATGTTACTCGTAAATTGCCTTAAATTGGTAATATAATTCGTTTCCAGTGCCCCTGGCGCAAATGCTTTGAGTGCTTGTGAGCTCACTTGCGGCCTTACAATGGCGTTAGCAAGGTACGTAGTGCCAGCAGCAACTGGCCTACGGGCTGGCCGTTGGGACCGAGCCCTCTATACTGGCACCGAACTTAACGGCAAAACCCTGGCTATTCTTGGTCTAGGAAGAGTTGGAAGGGAGGTTGCCGTTCGTATGCATGCTTTTGGAATGAAGGTAAATACATTATAATGTAAATAATGATTTGTTTCAGATTCATTCACCCATAATTTGTTGGTAAATCATTGATTTCATATTATAATATTAAAGACAAAAGAACTAAAACAGGATAAAGATTAAAATGTTCATATTTTCATAGCTATTGCTACGTGAATTTGATTACTTGCTTCGCGATTTTCTTTTAATTAGATTTTATTTATGTTTTATGTATAATAAATAATCTTTACTATACATATTGCTTGAAAATGTTACAATAATTCATTATATTCTGTTAAGTTGTACTAATTAAGAAAGGTCAAATATTTTTTATTAAAACTAAATTAATTATAACCAGTGAGATTTAGAACTTTTTGTATATGTATATTTAACGCATAAAAATCTGTCATCATGTCTTTAATAAGGTAATATACAATCCTTTTATATATTAATCGATAAAGCGTTTTATATAATACATTTATTAAATAGTAATGATATTGCCTCCTTTTAAATCAAAAAATTATAAATAATTATTATTTATATATTACGTAAATAACGTGACAGAAATAAAAATTTTTTGCGAAAGTTTGAGAACTTGCTGGCGTAATAAACAAAATGTTGATATCTTACAATGTCCCTTAGAGAAATTTGATTTTTGTTTAATGGTATTTAAGTAACGAACAGGCTACCTGATGATAAAAGAATATAGCAACCCATGGAGTTTGTGACCAACATCAAACAAAGAAGACTACAGACTACATATTTTCACCTCTGGGGAATAAAATGGAACTGCGCAAATTCTGTTCTATTATGTCGGCTCTCTGTCACAGTCAAAACTCATAACTGGTCGAATCCACTTTTGACTGCAAATATCAGCCAAGAATGTTTTTGACCAATGCCCCTAGTCCATAACAGTTTTCACTGATTTTCGTAGTCAAAAGTGGTTTTAACCAACTTTCTTAGTCAAAAGTGGTGTTGTCTGATTTAAACTTCAGACTATCGGCCATAACTCGCAATATCAGTAACAGTAGGTTAAGGTGCGGCTGGGGTGGCACTCGGGCTACCTTAAAACCGCGTGCATTATAATGATATAAAATATACTATTGAAGAAATTGAATTTTTAATTTCGGAAATTCAAAAAGTATAAGTCAAAATAAGTTTTGATTAGTCAATGTCAATGTCAATGTTAGTATTGTTGGTCAAAACCACTTCTAACCGATGTAATTTGGTTAAAATCACTATTATTCCATATTCTTGCATTTAATAGTGGATTTGACCAACGGCCTTAGTCAAAATTTTATTGCTATTTTCCGATTTATAGTATATGGAGATCCATATGCTGGAAATCGGAAAATAGCAATGGTTGCATTGCCGCTTAGCTATAGAAATAATTTAGAGCGAGCGAAATTTGTCGTTTATCCAAACGGACTCCTGGATGGAGGCCGAAGCCATAATATCTAATAAAATGGTTAGGGTAGTAAGCTTTCGAATCCACTCGTATACCATCTATGAGTGAGCGCAGTAATGATACTCCGGCATGGGAAATGCTGCATCACATAAACCGCTTACAAGATTTGAAATTGGAATTTTCGAATAAATTTTCCGGTATCAGTTTATTGTTTAGATTCTTATCAGTTAGCAGAGTGCGGCGCATGTAAGTGCGTTAGCTTAATGCCTGCGAAAAAAATATTTTCTGATCATTAATTTTTATAAATTTCACTTTACTCTTTGTTAGATTGTTGGCTTCGATCCATTTGTATCAGCAGAGCAGTGCAAGGAGTTCCACGCTACTAAAATGGAGCTCGATCAGATTTGGCCGATTGCTGACTACATCACACTCCACACTCCTCTAATTGAATCAACTCGCAGTAAGTGACATACCTTATGCAGATATATTTAACTGATCTTTGAAAATTTATAACGTGTATTATATTACTATGCGCGTATAAAGCGTTTATATCTATTAATATTTTTTATAGAATAAGGGTGACAAGCCAACAGACAATCCACCTGATGGCAAGTAGATACTGTGGCCCATCTATCCTCGGTTAAGATCATTCGTTCTGAAATACAGATGTGTTGTCACCCCTGACTAAGTTGGAATGGCTTATTTCTAGTAAAAACTAAAAAGGTTCTCCAGTTCTCTACACTTACCGTACGAAACGCAGCAACACTAAGCTGCTATTTTACGCTGTTATTCTTTGAGAGCGTGGTCCTACCGCGGTTAAACCGACCGACCATGTTATTGATATGGTCGGTCGGTTATGAAATATGAAAATTATATATGAAAAAATTTGGATGTATGGCCCTTCCACGTAAGGTATGATAATGTTCTTAATCAGTAAATATAAAAAACTTCTACTAATTAATGAGTACCTATGTTATAATCACTAAGTTTTACTACTAAGGAACACAAATTGGTAGACAGTCATATTAAAACTACTTATGGTCTAATAAAAAAATCAGCTTATTGTACTTCATCCCTCACTGCCAATAAAATTCCCTAAAAAGAAGTCTAGGAGCTAGTCTTTTTTTTTGTATAACGAAAAACTGATAATATAAATAATTTTTGATGATTTTCATAAACCTAAATTACTTACTTACTTATCTTCACGCACAATCCCTGACGGGGTAGCCAGAGAGAACAGATCGCCAAGTGTCACGATCCTTACATACCTCTTTCGCTTCTTTCAGATTCATTTTCTTCTTCATACATGCACGTCTAGGTATCCAAGTACTCTTGACCCTCCCCTCTTCGAGCAATTTGCTCACATGGTCTTCGAAAGTTAGTCTCGGTCTACCTCGACACCTTTTAATATTAACTTTCGCGCTATATATTTTCTTCACCATTCGTTCTTCACTCATTCGCTCAACGTGTCCAAACCATCGAAGCACGCCCTTATCAATTTTTGTGATAAGTTCATCTTTCAAACCGGTCGGCCGTTGTAATGCCACACATTTTACGAAGAGATCGCATCTCTACTGCATTCAACTTACTTTTATGCTTCTTCTGGCATACCCAGGTTTCGCTGCCATATAACAAAGTCGGTACCAACACTGCGTTATGTATTGCAAGGCGTGCACTCTTCACTACGCCTTGCCTTTTGACTAACGCAGTCAGGACACCATTGACTTTGTTCCCGGCAGCGACACGCCTGTCCACATCTAAGTTGTGCGACAACCTTTCGTCCGCTTCCATTCTACACCTTTCACGCACTTCCTCAATCAATGTTTTCGTATGAACTTTCTGCAGCTTATATCTTTCTTTCATCTTATCTCTCGTATCCTTATCATTACTAGAGGCCAAGTAGTCTAACCGTGCTTTCTTCTTCTTCTTTACAGCTTTTTTCACTTCATCATTCCACCATGCGTCTCTTCTTTTACTACTACCTCTTTTTACCGTTCCACACACTTCTTTCGCTGCATTTACCTTTCCATCCCTAAGGTTCTGCCATGTTCTTTCCACACATTCTTTTCTGCCATCGGTGGTGTGTCAAGCTTTTCGGCTACCTTCGCATGTTATTTGTCCCTAGTATCCGCTTCCTGAAGCTTCCAGCTTCGGATGCGACAGACCGACTGTGGTTCTGTCACTGCCGTTCGGTAGCGCCAACCCGCGAACAGACCACTAAATCTAGTAATCACTAGATAGTGATCCATACCCAGGTCAGCACCCCTGAACACTCGCGTATCCATCACCTGTTTTCGCAGTCGGTCATCCACCAGGAACAAATCGATCATACTTCTCTCATTCTTTCTTTCTCTAGTATACATATGGATTTTCTTGTGATTAAACATAGTGTTTGTCACAAGAAGACCCTTTTCCTTGCATACAGCCAGTATAAGCTTGCCAGTATCATTAACCCTTTTATCGCCAAACTTTCCAAGCACCGACTCGTACCCTGGTCGATCGGTACCAACCCATCCATTCAAATCACCACATACAACAATTATTTCGTTTCCCCTAACCAAATCTAGAACTTCTCTTACATTCTCCCAAAACTCCTCCAGCTCAGCCCTGGACGACGAAGCTACCGGCGCATAAACAGCCAAAAGGAATAACTTCGTCAGTCCCAATTTAAAGCGAACCCAGAGAAGTCTTGAGTTCACAACCTTATATTCAGTCATAACATCGACCAACTGAGACGACAGCAGCACCCCCACTCCTTGGCAGGCGCTCTCGCTCTCCGGGACTCCGAACCATAGAGCTAACGTCCCGCCAGGAAGCTCTTCAGTACCACTGCCCTTCCGTTTGGTCTCCGACATACACACGACATCTAATTCTCTTTCTTTCATTAGTTCGATCATTTCATTTGTCTTATCTCTCATGCCTCCTCTAACATTCCACGTGCCAACTCTGCACTCTGTCCTCCACCATCCGCCGTGTCGGGCTGTGCGTGACGGGTGGCGGTCCCCATCGCCGCTTTGCGCGCTGCATTCCACACCAACGGGGACGAGCTGGTGTGCGTCGCTTTGGGGGGACGCCCTAACCCTCGTTTGCATGGGTGTAGAATGGGTGTAGCTGTGTAGAATTGCAGCCCTGGAAAGGGCTGGCAGGGGTTGCGACGAGCACGCTTCTACGGTGACCCCCTAACAATAACCTTTGTTTGGTCTATGAAGAGAACGCTAATGTTGCTATAGTTTTCCGCTGACCATTAACAACTTTTTTGTTTTTTTACATAGCCGTAGAAGTAAAAATTAGCTTTATTACTGAACAAAATATGGTCATAAATAATTTTATGAAACTAATGAAGTATATTGTTGCGAAATTCAATCTGTGAACATAGAATTGTATAATGTATATGCTTATACTCGAAAATTGCTTTGTAGCATGAACCTAAATGACGCTAAATTTATAAATCCCAACCGGGCGAAGCCGAAGCGAGTCGCTGGTGATAAGTCAATTACTTAAATATAGCTATCAAATATTTAAACAATATTAAGAACAGCCGTATAAATTATTTTTAAAACCATACTCACTTTTTCAAGAAAGACGATGACGCCTTTTTGGATTACAGGATAAGGGTGACAAACGAGCACACAGTCCACCTGATGGTTGATTTCTCTTCTGAACTTCGTTTACATGCTGTTTTAGGAAATCATTACAAACCGTCTTGGACGCAAACTTCATAACTTATAGTCTCCTGAACAAGCTCGTTTCAACCCTAGCGTTATCAAGACCTATGAAGTCGCTAAAACCGTTATGTCCCTTGGGTATTTAGCGTTCCTGTTCCTCTTATTTTCAATCTAGGGTTACTGTTTTTTTTTACTAAAACGACGTTATATAAAAGCATCCGTTGGCCTGCTGACACTATTCTTGAACGAAGATTATTCAGTACACGATGAAATAGAGCCTAAGATGCCTAAGATACGATGTATGCCGCTTTAAATGAGTTAACGTCCTCGGCTTATTTAGAAATTGTCACTTCTCCATGATGTGCCGAAGTAGTTAGGTATGGAGTGCGTGGTAGCCAGTAAACGTTACTTTTCCACGAAATCTGCTTTTCAATTAGAGGATTTGATGTGTGACACCCCATCTTGTTGAAACCAAGTTTGTGTATTACAGTCATGAAATGGTTGTTGTGATGCAAGTAATGGAGCTAAAATATTTGCAATCTTCTCGCAATATCGCTTTGTATTCCCAGCTAGCGCTCAACCTCGACAATATTTATGGAAATATGGGCCGATTGTTCTTTTAGCAGACATCTCGCCTAAAACAATAACCTTTGTTTGGGCTATGAAGCGAACGCTAATGTTTCTGTGGTTTTCCGCTGACCATTAACAACTATTTTGTTTGTTAACATAGCCGTACAAGTAAAAATTGGCTTTATTATTGAACAAAATATGGTCATAAATAATTTTATGAAGCTACTGTAGTATATTGTTGCGAAATTCAATCTGTGAACATAGAATTGTATAATGTATATGCTTAGACTCGAAAATTGCTTTGCAGCATTTGGTTCGATCTGTCTCAAATGACAGAGATGTTTTAATTCTCCATGATATTTTGGATATTATTCTAAAGTCTCACCGGAGGATTAAGATGATATTATTGTAATGGATATAATACCTTTGAGTGTAGATTTAACAGGAAATAAGAATGCTGATTGTTTAGTAAATGTATCTGTAGCAGAAAACGTTGAACACAGTATTATTTCAGACTACTTGGAAATTATAGGATAATATAAAAGAAATACATAGTATATAATATACACACATAAATTGGATAGTTTACTTTTATAAAAATTGTAAGGGAAAAGATATTTGGTAGATATTAATGTAGTTAATATATACCGTTATATACCAAAATTGTTTTAACATACAGGCTTTGTTCTAGGCACATTCTATTCAAGGTATTTAAATAAATAAAGAAAGTAAAATTAATGACGAGAATATACAGCATAGTATAACAATAGATTGTGTTAGCAATGGCGCGAATGAAGCCAAGTGAAAGTATTTTTCACAAGTCTCTATTGCTTTGTGTGTTCAGGTATATAGTATAAAACACACTCTGATGCTATATTATCCAATTGTGCCGTGATGCTTTTAATGAATATTCCCTTTTATTCCCCATCTATTGTTTTACCTTAAAATAACTTTATGACTCATGTCAGATTTTAATGTTGTTAAGCGTTTTTGAGATTTAAGCCACTAATTTCAAAACCCGTAATGACATACATAGGTAGAACGATAACTAAGTAATTCCATGCAAACGTTAGTTCTCTTCTGAAGATGAAGTGACCAGAACTCATGTAGCAACCAAATTGAATGATTCTATAACTTTCCTTAAAAGTAAAGTTGCAAATTTATTGCAGTATGAGTACACTAAAGTTAATCTGGAATCTATTTCTATGCGCCATTTTAGTTCTTCTGCATTTATTGTAGGATGTCGTCAGAATCAGACAGATTATAATTTCCATCTGAATTATTCTCAACCCAAATTTCCGTAGTAAAACATTTATACCTTCGCCCAATGTTCCATATTGTGCTCCGCTTCCATCGCTGTTCAGAAAATTCGCGAAGTGAATCGAAGAATATTTTTAAAATATCTTTTCACTTCGCGAAGAATTTAAAATCTTCGATCGAAGATCGCTCGAAGTTTTCTATGAGATATGTCCATTATAATATATCGTTTTACTACTCGAGGTCCAGTTGTCAATCGAAATCAAATCGATCGAAAAACAAGAAAAAGTTATAAACTTTACACTAACTGAAGGCTTCGTTCGATCTCCGCCAGCACCGAGGAAATGTTTGACAGCAATTAAGCTAATTTTACCACATGCTCGGTGATGAAGGAAATCATCGTCAGGAAACTTGCATGTCTACGGAATAAAAATATTTCAAAGATATGTGAGTCCGCCATCATGCCTATTATTGCTCCATACCCTCGCAGAAATGAAGGCGACCTGTGTCCAGCAGTCAGACTTATATTTTACTGAATTTCATTGCTTGGACGCTGCTTATTTATACTTTTCATTATTTTTTGGAATAATAAATAACTAATTTAAATTAACTTCTTTTTTTGTATATAAATAAGAAAATAATTAATGTAGATAAATCTATAATGAATCGAAATATCATTTTTAAGACATTAAAATAATAATTCGTACGGATTTCGCAAGAACAATTACATATAAACCACCAGCTGCGGCTGAAAACTGATTTTCAGTGGGTACTTTTTTGTACATCTTGTATAATTGTTTTAGGTGTTCAATCATACACAAATTTCAATGATACAGGCTGGGAGTGAAGGCGGTGATCATCAATCAGTTACGACAGGCGTTTTCAATAACTTCTAGAGAAAATTAAGATAATTAATAAAAATCTTGTTTGAGTTAGAACTTCGAACCAAGAAGAGTAATGTTAACAAACGCATTTGTTATTATTTTAACGTCATCTTGTAGTACAGTGTGTAATAAGCCTTTTCATTTGTGAGAATAACGGTTTATACGGTTTAATTAAAGAATATCTGTAAAGTACACGTTTAAATGGCGACTTGGAGTCAATAATTTGACGATTTATTCATCGAGACAATTAGTATGAACTGAGTTTCTGTGTCACATAATATTTCTGTGTATATTAAATTTTTATAAAATTATATTATTTTTGCACAATAATTACATTACGGAGGTTCAAAAAAGTTAAAAAGTACCGCAACGTTGCGTTAATAAAATGTCACACGTTAGATATGACGAGTGACAAGGGCTGTGTACTTACATACCAAACGACGAATGTTAATGATGAAATTTATTTTAATTTTTAAAATGATATAATCTATAATAATGCTATAAAGAGGTAAAATCTATTAATTTGTTAATTTGCATGTATAGGTGGTAACCTCCGGAAGTAACTATCCAATTGTGAAAGTTCTTTCACTAATAGGAAGGTACATTATCCCTGAGTGCTAAAGGTTATAAATTATACATTTGTCGTATGTTTTACCCGAGCTATTACCGTTTTAGTCTATACTCGTAAGGTCGGAGAAAATACAGCATTCTTTGCACACGCTGCCTTAACGGCAAATAGTGAAAACAATGTATTGCTACGTTTGTGGGTCTTTGATACTAGTTCTAAAAAAGTATCTTCTACGGAAATAAATAAAATTGAAGTTTTTGTTTGTGATGTCAATTTAACATCTTTTACTAAATGCATATGAAAGTATATACGGTACTTATAACAAAAATACATTTTTTTTTACGTTTTGTCTGTCTCTCTGTGCTAATCTTTGAAATGGCTGGACCGGTTTTGGCGGGACTTCCACTGGCAGATAGTTGATGTTATAAAGAGTAACTTAGGCTAATTTTATTTCAGAAAAAGAATTAGTGTTACGCGCAAAAAATTTAAAACCCTAAATTACACGCGAGCGAAGTCGCGGGGAGCAGCTAGTTTATTATAATAGTCAACTTTTACAATAATAGTTTTTAATTATGATTAAAATAAATCGAATATTGATAATATCACACAAATTATTTAAGATTTTCAAATAAAAGTAATTTTAATAAACAAGCACATGGTCCGGTCCACCTCAATCGTAAGTGGCTGAGCGATAGCTTTACATTTACGTCTATCATTGGGCTGGCCATACATTAACATCTATTATAACTTAAGAATATAAATACAAATACATTGTCATCCTTAAGGACTAAGATGGAATACCTCGTTATTCGTTATAAGAAACACATCAGCATTATGCTTGATGCTGCTGTAATTGATTAACGTCATAAGTTATAATAATTGCTTTAGTAATCACTAGTCATTGATTTTTAGGGAGAGAAATATTAAACACATTATCCATAAACACGAACTATATGTGGTTTATTTAAAGATTAAACCCATGATGACCCATAAGCACGCACTTTACGTGGTAAAGCAATGCTGCGCCGGAATGAATGGGTCAGCGCAACTGCGGAAGGACCACGCTTGCAAAGAATACCAGCGTGAAATAGCAACATAATGTTACTGTGTTTTGTGTGCCGAGTGACGAGAATATTTGTTCACCAGGGGTGTCAACGCATCTGCATATTGATTTTTAATCGAGAATGTAGGAGCATCTTATATGCAATACACTCCTACATTCTCGATCCTATATTATATAACTTACTATAAGAAAATCATACATCTTTAAAATATGCGTGGACAACATGGTTTCAATACGTACACAACGTCAAACACACTTTTTTTTATAGGATCGGGAGGATAAGCGAGCACACAGTCCACCTGATGGTAAGTGGTTGCTGTGGCTCATAGACATCTATCCTCGTTTCCGAATCAAAATGCATAGGCGTTGTCAGCTGTGAGGACTAAGATGGAATGGCTCTTTTTGAGTAGAAAAGGTCTCCAGTACTCTACACCCACCATACGAAACACAGCAGCATTAAGTTGCTATTTTACGCTGGTATTCCGTGAGAGCGTGGTCCTTCCCCGGTCTAACCGATCCATTCGTGCTACAACTATACAATTAATATAGCTGCAGCTTGGCTCTACCTCTACGTTACAAATTTTTCGTATTTTATAAATTTACTTATAAGTTCCTTCGTACAATAGCTTAGTAGTGGACTGTTATACGAGTATAGTGGATTTATAAAATTGAACTTTCTTGTCATAGATTTCATCAACGCAGACGTTCTCAAGAGATGCAAAAAAGGAGTGAAGTTAATAAATGTTGGACGTGGCGGGCTTATCAACGAACGGGATCTTCTTGATGCATTAAACGAAGGACAGGTATACAAATAGTAGTTTAATTTTAGTTTTAGTGCGTTCCGTGTGCAGTGCATGTAAATGCAATAGATTTATCTACTATCCGATTCAAACTTATGTACACAAACTTGGGCTGAATTCGAAAATCATTGCGCCCGATCTGAATCAGGAAAAAACCATTGATAAATCCAATTGTGCATGCCCTAAGCGCATTAAAGAAAATTACGTATGACATACGTAAATGTTTATAGTAGTTTAAATACACACAAGTTTTCACTAATAACCTTATTATTATTCTTCCAATTTTCGAATAATTTTATGTCAAACATAAATTTATAAAAAGTTGGGAAAATCCAAAAGTGCACGATTCATAATGATCCTATGATCATCATATCATCATTCAGGTAACTCCTTAAAGTCCAAGACGTATTTAAGTACAAATATACTTAAATATATACATCAGATACAGAGTATGTTAGGGCTGAATCTGAATGACAGAGTGAGAAATTGTGTGAAAAGAGAAGAGTGTGGTTTGCAAGATGATGTTGTGACCAAGATTAAGAAAGGAATGCTTCGGTGGTTTGGTCATGTAGAAAGAATGAATGAGGAAAGAGTGACAAAGCAAATTTATGTTGCAGAGGTGAACGGCAGAGTCGGGAAGGGACGCCCTAAGCGAAAGTTTATCGACCAAGTTGGCGATATATTGAAAATGGGCCAAATTAAGAGTACCCGTAGACAGTAGTAAGATTAGGTATATGGATGTGGAAGAGGCGAGGGAGGTGGGTCAGGCTCGTGCCAAATGGAAGTCCATAGTCTCTCCCTACCTCTCTGGGTGAGAGGCGTGAGTGTTTATGTATATACATCCTAGTTACTTTTAGTTCATAGTACTATTATTTATTCTGTGCTTTTAAAATATTGTAAAAGAAATCTCTGATTTTTATCATAATAATGAAGTATGTAAGAAATTTGTTTTTTGAATAGTTTTTATTTGTACAGCAATCTTTATGAGCCGCTGCAAACAACCGATACAGTATCCACTCACGACGGCGGTTGACGCCGAAGTGAGTGAGTGGGGCAGTCTATTTAGTAAAATAGATTATTACAAGGCTGATAAAACACCGAAAATTTCCGGATTTATACGCCGGAAAAAATTAATTATAACGAAACAAAAGAAAATTAAACTGCAATTTACATTCCATGGCTTTCCACATGATAGATCAATAGATTAAAAAATAGATTGAGTTATACAATTGATATTTTCAAAAATTATCATGTTTACCACTCCATGCGGACTTGATAAATTTACACCATAAGCCACTAATACCACTTTTTATGTAAAAATAGCAATTAATCGATTTAAAAAATATTAATAAGTTCAACAATCTTTCTGACAAAGTGCTTTTTATATAATTTATATGTTCAATATGATTGTTAGATACGATTTTATGCGACAGAACGTTGGAATCTTGATTTTTAGGCGTTAGTAGAATATACCTACGTGCTTTGCGCTTAAGGCATACAATAATGCAATTGTCGTTTGTATACGTAAAATTCCAAAATATTGGGCTTTCTGGTACTATTTTGCGCTTAGGCCTTTCACTACGAGTCCTCAAAACTTTAGCACTGTTATTTTACGTACGAACGGGCAAGATAAATAAAGGGTTCCGTATACATAACCATAACTACCGTGTTTTATGACTTCGTAAAACGGAATTCGGATGTAGTGCGCAACTCCTCATAATATAAATAGCATTATACTTGGCTACTTCGAATCAATAGAAATTTCTCAATTTCAGATTTTTTTGTTAAAACTATAATCGCGTATCAATATTATATACGCTCAAATGTAGCCTTACTGATTCCATTGACACCCGTCAAATATCGACGATATCTTACAAACCAATAGCATTCATTGTTATCCAGATGACAGCATAGGCAATGCATTCTACGCCGGACGTGCTAATATTTCTCGGGAACAAGTCGTCGAGTGTCAGAATAAACTTGTGTCTGAGGCCGAGTCTTTGTTGAACAAAGTCTCGGATTGGGGGCGACTAGGCCCGTATTAATAAACGTTACTCAACGACGAACTCAAGTGCGTGATCATTTGATACGCCCTCATTACGATATCAGAATTTCGAGATCGTTGCTAATTAATAAACACATAAAAACAGTATTTCAGTTACCAAAATTAGTTCCTCAACACGCTATACTTAGGAATACTGTTTCGTAACTTGAGGGCTTGATCTCGTGAACAATTACGTCACATAGACTGAAGTTTAGAATATCATTCATCATGTTTCGTTTTTGCTATATCTTGCGATTTATTGAATACATTTATTTTGATAAAATTTGATTAAATAGCGCTGTATCACGTTATAAAGTGGTTTTCTACTTACGAAAACCTTAAATTGTTAAAACTGTTCTGTATGTATTTCTAAATACGAACTAAATGCTTACTACTTAATTCAATATGTACAAATAAATAACTGACGTATCATATTTGACACTGGAAAACAAAATCTTAATTACATCTTTGATCTCGCGGAAAATTTAATTTGTGCAAAAATGGAAAGTAAGAACCATGTATTTACTCCGATTGAGGAAAATGCTTTCTCGGCATTATAAAAAAAATATAGGTCTATGGTGAAAAATAAGGGGACTGATGGCACGTCTCTACGTACCTATTAAAAATGAGGCCTGGAGCAAAATAACTGTAGAATACAAGCTAGTCCATACGTAGTACGTAATTAATTATATTACTATTATACTATTATATCATCATTAATCAAATAACTGTCGGATACAAGCTAGTCCATACGTAGTACGTAATTAATTATATTACTATTATACTATTATATCATCATTAATCAAATAACTGTGGGATACAAGCTAGTCCATACGTAGTACGTATTTAATTATATTACTATTATACTATTATATCATCATTAATCAAATAACTGTAGGATACAAGCTAGTCCTTACGTAGTACGTAATTAATTATATTACTATTATACTATTATATCATCATTAATCAAATAACTGTGGGATACAAGCTAGTCCATACGTAGTACGTAATTAATTATATTACTATTATACTATTATATCATCATTAATCAAATAACTGTGGGATACAAGCTAGTCCATACGTAGTACGTAATTAATTATATTACTATTATACTATTATATCATCATTAATCAAATAACTGTCGGATACAAGCTAGTCCATACGTAGTACGTAATTAATTATATTACTATTATATCATCATTAATCAAATAACTGTGGGATACAAGCTAGTCCATACGTAGTACGTAATTAATTATATTACTATTATACTATTATATCATCATTAATCAAATAACTGTGGGATACAAGCTAGTCCATACGTAGTACGTAATTAATTATATTACTATTATACTATTATATCATCATTAATCAAATAACTGTCGGATACAAGCTAGTCCATACGTAGTACGTAATTAATTATATTACTATTATACTATTATATCATCATTAATCAAATAACTGTCGGATACAAGCTAGTCCATACGTAGTACGTAATTAATTATATTACTATTATACTATTATATCATCATTAATCAAATAACTGTCGGATACAAGCTAGTCCATACGTAGTACGTAATTAATTATATTACTATTATACTATTATATCATCATTAATCAAATAACTGTAGGATACAAGCTAGTCCATACGTAGTACGTAATTAATTATATTACTATTATACTATTATATCATCATTAATCAAATAACTGTAGGATACAAGCTAGTCCATACGTAGTACGTAATTAATTATATTACTATTATACTATTATATCATCATTAATCAAATAACTGTAGGATACAAGCTAGTCCATACGTAGTACGTAATTAATTATATTACTATTATACTATTATATCATCATTAATCTGAAATTATGACGATAACTTCTATAGCAGCATTTATTTTATCTTACAAATCGAACAAATCTTGGATCATTAATTACTTCCTTTGAAGTTATTATACATTTATTTAATTTTATTTACATTATATTAAATGACATATTGAAATAAATTAAACCTGCTTAAATAAATATAAAATATTTACATCTGAAATGTCGTCACATCATTTGTGTCGACTACTTCTGGGGAAATTGGAATACGTCTGTTACTGTATTTCACCAATGAGTATTTTATTAATGTTACAATATATATTTATTACTGATTTTTGACCAAATCTGTATTGACTTATTGAAATGTTTACTTGGTAACTTAATACGATCGGAGGCATACCTTATATAAATTTTTGCTAAACGATATCGCGAAGGACGTAAAATATCGTCATTGTGCTCGAATTCGTCGTAATAATTAACTTATCTTAAAATATTTTCAATCTCCATGTAAACATGTCAAACACGATCTTAAGTCACAGACTCGCCACACTCAGATTTAAGCATCTCAAATACACACACTTGAGAGTCGAGTTTCGTTTATTAGTCAGTGTGTCACGAGTGACATCGTAAACTTAAGCCGCATCTAGATATATGTTTATTAATAAGATCACAAACTCAATATTGTACTCAAGTGCGTGTACTTGAGCTGAGTAGTGTTTATCAATACAGGTCTTAATCTAGCCCAGTTCAATCCCCTGAAAACAAGTGATAGCGGAAGAGGGGATACGACAAACGGGTCCTTTTTAGCTAAAAAGAACCCCTTTGTCGTATCTCCTCTATTTTAAGGGACTCACCTCGTTGCTTTGGCTAGCATCGGAATTTTCGGCGTTGACACATCGAATGGTGTTCAGTACCACGGTCACTTGGAAGAGAAGGCCAAGTTGGTGTCTAAAAAGCTTGGCATACTTCGTAGAGCGGGACAGTATTTCATGGCGGCATTACTTTACAAGGCGCAAGATTGACCTCACATGGAATACTGTTCTCATCTCTAAGCCAGGGCACCCCAATGCCAACTCGTTCCACCTGATCGCATCCAGCGCATAGCGGTTCGTATCATCGGCGACCGAGCTCCTCTTCATTGGCTTGACTTACTGGCGCTGCGAAGAGATGTAATCTATCGCATCTACCAAGGGGATTGTTCGGAGACACTGTTCGGGCTAATTCCAGCTGCTCATTTTTACCATCGCACATTGCGACAAAACTCGCGATACCATCAATACCACATGGATGATTGGCGGTCCACCACTGTGCGATTTACAAGAAGTTTTCTTCATCGTACTCTTTTTAAAAGGCCGCCAATGTATCTGCAATTCCCCTGCTCTTGCAATTATCCATGGTCAGCGGTAGTCACCTACCATCAGGTCAGCCGCATGCTCGTTTGCCCAGCTCTTATATAAAAAAAACTTTATTTCGGAGATTACTTAGTTTTTTTTTAAATAACTCAATATGATCTACAACCGTGCATATGCTTCTATTTAGCTTTCACCCCTTCTCTTAATTTGAGCATTAACGATATAGTCCTTATGGCAGAATCGCTGGAGGACCTAAGCACAATGACCTCAATAGTGTTTCCCAACGGATAGGTCTTAAGATGAACATGGACAAAACAAAGATCATGTTTAATGTCCATGTCACACCTATGCCGGTAGTTATTGGGAGAGTATGTTTACCTGGGACAAATAGTCCAACTTCGACCTCGAGGTCAGTCGACTGATTCAACTCGGTTGGTCAGCGTTCGGGAAATCATGGCACATCTTCTCATCAGGTATACCTCAAAACTTGAAAACGAGACTGTACAACGAGTGCGTGTTGCCAGTGATAACCTATGGAACTGAGACGTGGTCCTTCACTGCTGGCCGGATGAGCAAGCTCAAGGTCGCCCAGCGAGCTATGGAGAGGGCTATGCTCGGAGTTTCTCTGCGTGATAAACTTAGAAATGAGGATATCCGCAGTAGAACCAGAGTGACCGACATAGCCCAATGGATTAGAAAGCTGAAGTGGCAATGGGCCGGCCATATAGCTCGAAGAACCGACAACCGTTGGGGAAACAAGGTTCTCGAGTGGCGGCCTCTTACCGGCGGACGAAGTGTAGGGCGTCCCACCACTAGAGTGACGACCTGGTAAGATATGCAAGAAGTCGATAGATGCAGGTGGCTCAGGACCGTGCTTTGTGGCATTCCTTGGGGGAGGCCTATGTTTAGCAGTGGACTTGTGAAGGGCTGTAATGATGATTATGATGTGTCGCTACCTCGGCGCCGTCATACGTCTACCGGTGACGGCGGCAGTGGACAACTGCTCTTAGGCATTTATAAAAAGAGAAGGGTTATTTATGAACGTGGTATTTTTTTACTTATGCGCTCTAAATTATTGCTGATTCTATTTTTGTAACGGACTAGTCAAGGTACTTTTAAATTCAGTTTGGAATCCAACATCTCGATCAGCATTCTTGGTAAATTAATATAATGATTAATTAGCCTTGTAGATAAACGCTTTTAATTCCTATTTCCTACAAAACAGGTTGGTGCGGCGGCACTGGACGTTTTTGAAAAGGAACCTCCGACAGACCCTTTGACCTTGGAAATAATTCAACATCCGGCTGTTGTGGCAACACCGCATCTCGGTAAGTATATTATAATATTGAATAAACTCGGAAGTCCTTTCACTTTTATACAAAAACCACTTGCGACTATGCGCTAGGCATACCAGGAAGATAGCCGACGAACATGGATAATTTCAAAGTCACATTTCATCGTATAGTTAACTAAGGTTACAGGTATAATGTAGATGCCTAAAGAGGTAACATACAAATATATTGTATTTAAAAATATCTACAATTTGTTTCAAGTACAGGCGAATGAAAAAAGTGAACCTAATATAAAGAAGGCTAGAGTTGTTAGACCTATAGCATTTAATTCAAATTTCTGAGTTGATGAGTGGGATGTGTTAGAATTTTTGTATCTGTTACGTTTCTGGATATAAATATAAAATTTTATTGAATATTTTTCGATTTACCTATAGATATTGTGCAAATTACAATGCATTGCTTTAAAAGAATACAAAGTATATAAATGGCAAACACTAACAAAAATATTTATCGGTTTTCACTTGAAGGAAGATTGATCCGATAAAGGACAACTACATGTTGGCCTCTAGAAGTGCGTAGAATCAATTACTTTAAAGCCTTTCTCTTTACGTATTTACAAAATTTAATATCAGAACAAGTTTTAAAATAACCCGTATATAATAAGAATTGCGCTTATTATTATTTGAATGATCTTTAATCATTTATCTACTTAACATATATACAATATTTTATATTTTATTATATACAATATTAAAAACTATAATTATATTAAAAAAAACTAAGACTAGTAATTTAATTATCAAACAGCCCTACTCCCTATTTGAATTGAAATATATTATAATAAAATAGTGTTCGTATGTATATTAGGCTGAAAATTTTATAGTCCCTGTCTAATTCTAATCTAACTTGTTGGTCGATAAACCCTTACAAAACTTATATAGGAATAAAATCCACAAAAAATATATCATACGTTCATAAAAAATATAGCCCCTGATATAATTTCCCGCTTTCATGGCAAGATAAGAAAAAGTGCGAGGGAGATGGATAGTATTCCATCTCACTTCCTTATTTCGCCGCCAAGGCGGTCTACACTATGACACAAGGGGTAGTGACGAAAAAAACATTTTTGTCGCCTAGCTCCCACCCTCCAAACATGTACCGTCCGATAAGGAACTTCGTTCCAATAATAGGGTATTTTACAGCATGTAAAAAAAAATCAATGAATATATATTTATGATAGATTTTGTAAAAAGTACACGAGAAATATCGATTTCTATTTATAAAAATGCATTATAAATTTTATATTTCAATTTAAAAAATAACTTTTTTTTACCTATGCCTCAAATCTGCAAAACGATGTCCGCCATATTAGATAGCGTCGTGACGTCACTAGGTCAAAGAACTAGGTTATGTGCCGTGTACTAACTAGCTAATTTCGAAATTTTTCAAGTTATCATTACCATTGTTGACTTTTATTCCGAATTTTATTGAAAAGGCATCATGGAAGACGGATTCGTAAAAGCGAGTTTATTACTTCGCTTTTAGCACTAATGTTATAGATATTATAATACAAGCTTAGGTGGGAAAAACTTTTTGTTATATTTTTTTCTACAAACCCTCAGACGAAATAAAAAGTCACTTTTTATTTGGTCTGAGTACAAACCATGTCTTTATTCCCATATAATAGAAGAAAACAGGAATTAAGTAAAACACTGCACTGCACTTGCAAGGGCTATCAAAATGGCCCATAAAGGGCGGGACAGACGAGCGATTAACCTAATCTATTACAAAATTTGATTTGCAATAGGTACCTATCATGTCATGATGTTTTGTTTTGTTTAATCGATAGTTAAATATAAGTCATACTTACATCAAAGTGATTTTCACAGAAGTATAGTTTAGATTTTGTAGACAATGCCTTCGGGTCTCTTCTTGTCGGTTTTAACCAAGTATTTCAAGTATTTTTCATATTTAAATCAGTTGGCACTTTAATCCATATATTCCCCGGCCTTCTTATGCTCGTATTTTTGCAATCAGGCACAACACAACAATGATATAAATGATAAGTCATTATTAAACATTCAAAAGTATCTTATTCCTTTGCAAAATTGTCAAAATTCTAGGACAGTGACGTCACGAGTTGAACAATATGGCGGCTAGCATTTTCACGCGAAAATTTAAAATGTTAGATTAAAATTAATTTTTATGACACTATTCGGTTTTAAAAAAAATTATATAAAAATTATAATGGTTCATTATCACTCTAGGATTCATTTAAAACATTTTTTAAAAATGGGTGTAATACCCTATTATATTTTGTTAGATTTAGGCGTGACATTATAACAAAATTAATACATCGTATATCTTAATAGATAATGAAATCATTTACTTAAATATTACAAAACTACGAAATGTTTGAGTTGTTTCAAATCAATTAAATAAATATGTCTAATAATTTAATGTTGAATAAATATTGAAAGAAGAATATGTATGTTCGGTACACCTTGACATTTACGATTTCTCACAAATCACAACATCGTCAATGATAAAAAAGTTGCCATGTAGGTATTATACTCGAACTTTCGATTTAACTTTTTATGGCAGAAGTTACGATACATTTACAAGCAGTAAACCTTCTTAGTACTTCTAAAAATAAAGATCATTTAAGTTTACAAGGTCAAAAAACAACCGATCACATACTGATTAAAACGACATAAAGTATCGTAAATATAATGATGTGACACATGATGCTTTTAATGCAGATAATAAATTAAAGATTTGGTCAATCATCATCTTATAGGCTTTCAATAAATGACAACTAATGATATTAAAATAAATTTCTATAACGTATACATATACATTAATAGTATAATTCTTTTTTATAGGATAGGGTTACAAACGAGCGCACAGTCCACCTGATGGTAAGTTGTTGCTGTGACCTATAGACATCTACATACATTAATCTATACAAATAAATAAAATTGCAGTGTCTGTTTGTAATGTCAAAATTACAGCTTTTTACTAAATGCATATGAAAGTATATACGGTACTAATAACAAAAATACAATTTTTAAAATTTTTGTCTGTCTGTCTTTCTGTCTGTCTGTCTGTTTGTTCCGGCTAATCTCCGAAACGGCTGGACCGATTTTGACGGGATTCTCACTGGCAGATAGCTATTGTCACAAGGAGTAACTTAGGCTACTTTTATTTTAGAAAAAGAATTAGGGTTCCGCGCTAAAAAATGAAAACCCCAAATAACACGCGTGCGAAGTCGCGGGGAACAGCTAGTCCTCAATAAAGAATTAAAATGCAGATGCATTGTCACCCGTGAGGACTAAGATGGAATGCCTCTTTTCTATAGTAAAAAGGATCTCCGGTTCTCTACACTCACCATACGAAGCACAGAAGTGGTAAGCTGCTATTACGCTGGTATTCTGAAAGAGCGTGGTCTTTCCCTGGTAGAGCAGACCCATTCGTACTTCAACTATACTACTAATATAGCTGCAGCATGGCACTACCACGTTTGAAAATAGTAACAATAATGTTAATGCATAATTACGTCATCATATCCTTGCACTAATAATATCCTTGCTTTTGTTTTAGAATTATTTTTTAAATAAGATCAGTTTAATATTTGCTCTAGTTAAATCAGCTTTCATTAAAACAAAGACAATTTTTGTAAAAAGTGATAGGAGAATCTTTAAAAAGTATTCCATGCTCATTTGCTCCGGTGGTCGATTTATTTAGCTTTATTACTATTCACTTTTACTTTTTATTATATTATGTAACCTCTCTGTATTTTATAAATAATGTTCTTTGGTCGGATTAAATTTTCTTTATGTAAACAAAATATTCCAGTATGTTTTGTTATATCAAACAAGTGAGAGTAATATAGGCAGTGCACCGTGTGGCGCCGACGCAAGAATTCATCACCCCATTAGGTCCCGTGTGTTGTGTAAAGGCGCAAAGCTACCCGCCAAACTTGATGATTATGACAAAACCTCCTTATATTGAGAGAAGCTAATGTCTGTAGACTCTTACTGGTTGGTAAATACAAAAAAAAAACAATAAAGTAGGTACTAGGTACGTAGTACTACTACGTTAGTTAGAATGTTTTTTTTAAGTTATAGCTGAACAACAGTTCAGTTATCTGAAGTATTTAGAACTTATTAGCAACGAAGCATTTCATTTTGTTCTTATAAGTATGCAGAGAGATCCTCTTTGCTTATCTGTTGTAAGCATCCATATAATAATTATTACAAATTCATCGTCAGAAGATTCTTCATTTCGCATAAAGGGCCTTTGTTAAATTTCACCTAGATTAAAAAGGAATTTTTAATTAAGTTTTAAATATCGCTAATTACGTGTTTTTGATCAGAGATTATAAAATTATGGAAGTATTTGGGTTTGACATTTTTTTCTTATAATCATTAATTTTCTAACTATCTACTTACATCTATCCTATCATCGGTCAAAATGCGGTGTAATATTGCTGCGGTATCACCCCTGAGCTTTAAGATGGCATAACAACGGGATATTCCATCTTAAAGTTAACCAGTAAGGACTAAATGGTCTCAAAAGAATGCTAACATCGCTGTTGTATTCGAAGTCGATACAATAAACATAACCATCACTAGCCAGCAACTATTAGAAACGTATTGGGAGATTGCATAACGTTGCTGTGTAATCATATTTAAAAAAAACTATTTGTAAATTATAGAGAAAATAATATGTACAAATGTGTTATATTGCCCAAAGCAAATTCGATACCTATCATTAATACATATTGTAAACCGAAAAAATAACAAAGTGTGACCACGCGTGAAAACTAGGTGTAATCAGGTGTAATATTGATTGAAAGAAAAATTATACAAAGTCATTAAAATATGCCACAACGGTTCATTGCACTGCTGAGTTCGAACGCAATTAGCGTAATAACGGGTACTGGTAGCCGCAAGCCGCAAGCCGCAAGCAAGTCGGCAAGGTTCGCGTGCTCTTATCAATCTCCGGGTAAGAACCTTGACATCTTATAATAGCACAGTTGTATCAAAATGCCTTTCATTTTTAAACCAGAATTAAAATACAACTCTATTCACGGATTTTAGTTCTTTTTACTGGTTTACCGCAAAGAAATTAATTATTATTAACATAATATGTGTATGTTGCACAATATCACTTCTATGCCTTTCAGTTTACATTTAAATTTACAATTATGTAATAGTTATGTTAAAAAAAATTTATTCATTTAACTTATAATAAGAAGTGCAAACCGACTTTAAAAAGTAATATCTAGCTTTATTATTGGTCTGAGCAAATGGAATTTCGTCTAAATAGTTACATTAACCCACTATTTTCCCTATGTGATGGAGTTTTTCGAAACGATTAGAAGTACAATATGCTTTTTTAATAATTTAAAAATTCAAAATTACTCAATTGGTTCAGCCGATTCCAAGGAATCGGTAAACATACATAAAAAAATCTGTCGAATATAGAACGTATTCATTTCATTTTTAACTCTATTAAGGAGTAATGAAAATTGTATTATTTTCACAAGCTGTGCTAGCGTAGTAGATAATATAATATTTTTAAGCGTTTTAAACGTGGTAGAGCCACGCTGCAGTTATGTTAAGGTTGTAGCATGAATGGGTCGGCTCGACCGGGGGACACACAGAATACCAGTGTACGAGTAAAATAGCAGCTTAATGCTGTTCTGTTTCGTATGGTGAGTGTAGAGAACCGAAGACCTTTTATACTAGAAACGAGGCGTTACATCGTAATCCTCAAGGGTGAAAACGCATCTGCATTTTATTTCTTGATTTTGATCTTGGGATATATGTAGAAGTCTATGAGCCAAGCATCCACTTACCATCAGGTGGACTGTGTGCTCGTTTGTCACCCTTATTCTATAAAAAAATATTAATGCACTTTCTAATTTTTCTTTAAATTCATTGGCGGCTTTATTCTTAGCCGCATCAAATTAGATAACTAATGCCTTTGTATTTCCACAGGTGCATCAACCAAGGAAGCCCAAGTACGTGTTGGTCAGGAAATAGCCGAGCAACTTGTGAACTTGGTGAAACCTGGCACCTATGCCACACCCCTAGCCGAGGTGACCCGCGTCCTCACAAAGTGAACGCTACTACGTCATACGACAGTGAACGTGTCACCAAGTACGTTCATATAAAGGCTGAAAGTCAGATTTGCGATCGCAGTCTTGGCATGATTCGTTTACAAATGATTCGATATTTATCATATTATTGTTTTCTTGCTTCATAATCGCATAAAACTTATTTTTGTAACGTTATTTCTTAAGTGATTAATTTTTTATTAATAAACTTTAAAAAATTGAACTTAGACTTTAATTAAAAGACCGAAAAGAAAGAAGCAAAACAAACAAGAACTGAAAATACTAAGGCCAGCCACATACATACGGAATTCCGTTTCGGGATTCCGTTTCGATATTCCGATTCGAGATTGCGAACGCAGCAAGTTCACATAAAATCTATGACCCGTCACACACGTACGGTAGTTTTCCGTTCGAAATTTTGCGGCCAAAACTGGATTCCGTATGTGTGTGGCCGACCCGTTCGGAATTCCGAAACGGAATCCCGAAACGGAATTCCGTGTGTATGTGGCGGGCCTAAAACGGCTTCTGCAGTGCTAAGGCATTATGTATCGAAAAATTAAAGACCCGACTTCAGAAGCTATGATTTAGATGAAGAATTTATTTTATTATTTTTGATCTTTTAAGTCGGTAAATTTATTAAATATTGATTTATTTTTACACTTTTTATCAGACCAAGGTAAAGTATTTTCTAAATTTTATATGAGGCTATCCCAAAAGTACAAAAACTCGGTGGACATACATAAAAAAATGTCCATCATATCATATCATATCTTTTAACTAGGTACTTCTACTTCCAAACATTAGTGCACGGTAAGCTGGGTAATAATTTTAATGTTTATAGAGCAAGTATGATTACAGACTATGAAGCAATAAAAATAATTACCTAATAAATTTTTACATTGAAAATGAAGAAAAGCAGCGAATTTTGTATTTTATCATAAGAATGTAAACCTTGAACATTAAAACTATTTCACTATTCAAAATAGTATTTTTGTTGCTGATATATCTGATAACTCAACATCACAATATTACGTATTGCCTCTTTAAGGATTTTATTATATTATGAAGAAATAAATATCTAATAAACATATTAAAAATATTTATTTAAAAATTACTTATGACATATAATTTACAATAAAGTATAAAAATGATATCTAATCGTCGGCCTTGCCTAGTTTCGACCAGAATTTGTATTGGCGGAGAAAATGACATTTAACGTAATGAAAGGAAGAGGAGCGGGAGAGGAATCTAGGATAATGGTATTACAGATCATTAATATTAATTGTTATAGTACGAATCAGTTCCCTCCCCGCCTGGAGAACGTCCTACCGGTTCTCGCGGGAGGGGCGGCATCATTCTGCTCTTCTGGCTCAGCTTCTTGGAATGATTTCGATGACGCTGTAGAATGAAAACGAGTAGTTAAAGTAGACCAATTAGATGCAATATATTCGCTCGCTACATCAGTCTTTTGATATTTGCCTTATTTTTAATTTATATCGTACTCAAAAAATATATATAATTGGGTAATTAATGCCATCATTAAAAATAACCACAACAATTTGAATTTGCTATTTCAGCTGTCCTGCTAAACGTCTTAGGCAATACAGTTTTATTCCTTTTGCCTGTACAAATTATAGGTAAAATACATTTATTTGGCGAGCATTTAATAATTTCAAAAAGCTATTCAGGGAGTTCCAGATTTGTTTAACATGAGCGTTGCGTCAGCCAACCGCTTACGTGGTATTCAACGCTACATTATTTTGTAGTTTATAATGACATATTGATGTGTTTTGCTAAACTCTGTAACTTTTTTCATAAAGTATATTATACGGTGTATCAGTTAGCCTTCGCAATCGCGTTCATCATTGTTATGTTGTAATTTCATCTTTTTTTCTATTCGGACCCTTAATTGGCTTACTGTAGCTAGTATTATCTGTATTGATTATTGGATGTTATTGTTTCAAATAAAATAAAATATACTAAAAATACAGAGGCGTAGCGTGGACTAATATAGACGTGAAATCGCATCAGCGAGGCCCCTTTTCTTTCGTTGCCAAGATTTACTCAATAGATCTATCCTACCAAAAATGCTTTGACACGATATACCTAACGGTCGTGGTCTTTGAAGGTAGTTACAACGGCCTCGCAGTCGCACTTAATAGGGACTTCTTGCGAGGCCCCAAACAAACACGCTTTTAAATTTGTGACGTTCTTTTTCAAGCGTAAAGTGATCAAATTAATTAGTCATCTGTGGTAAAGTCCGCATTTTAAGGGGCCGCTAAAAGCTATAAAAACTATAAATTTATTACTATTCTCATACAATTTCTATAAAAATGTTTGTTTTGACTGCCCTTCAATTAATTGGAGTACCAATAACTATTCCAATAACCAGTCCACCCACAGCATTAAGAGTTTATAAATATGTACAAAACATTAAAATGACAAAAATTGGTCACTCAGAACCGTTGATGTTGATTACCAACATAATATTTCTATCATAAAACAGTCAGTTTAAAGCTATCATTTTTACAACTTACGTTTACCAAACCGTCCTCTGTTGGACTTGGCTGCCACTGGCGCTTCTTCAACATTAGTCTCGCGTGTAGCTGTGTTGAAGCGTTTTTTACCTATAATAAACGTAGTAAGGGTCAATACACTAAACACCTGATAAAAATTCACAGGAAATATTTATGTGCTTAAAATAAATATTTATTTAAAATCATCATTGAACAAAAACTTTTCCCGTTTTTTCGCATTTATATCTTTAATTTTTTTTAAATGTTACCCTCACATTAACATTTTCCCTGGTCGTGGTGGTTTTTCACATACACAAATTATACATGGGCAAGGATCCAGACCCAGAACAACAATAGGCCACTATACAAGCAATTACTCCGTGCAGGATTCAAGTCCGGCAGGCCCGTATTGCTGCTCCCGTATTGACCCGTCTTTACATATTATAAAAAGGCATTAATAGGTTTGAATTTTAGTATCTTATTTAGTTATATGATATCAACTTCTTGCTTAAATAATAAATAGTAGTCTTAACTCTTAACTTGTAATATTGCAAGTTGCTCTGTATAGCTACTACGAGAGAGGAGGTCAAAAAGTTCGCAGAATGAGAGGAAACGGGGGTGAAATGAAAAATGAAATTATTTTTTCCTTTTTGATAAGTCTACGGGGATTCCCTCAATCGGTCGGCCTGAGCACTGATCGCCTTCAATTGAGTCGCTGCCTTGCTTGAAAAGAGTATACCACTTTATATAGATCATCGTTTTTCCAGGGCAAGAGTGTAAATAAATGACATCTCTTCCATAATGATACGTGGCGTTTTTCCTTGCTTAGTGAAGAAATTGATCATGGCACGAAACTTCATTTTCTGCATAGTTAGTATTCACTCCCGATCGACGTATTTATCCTGTGATATCTTTAAGGTTAATGAACAGATCTAGCTGAATATTGGCATTTACAGTTGTATCAAGTCTCCAAGTAGTGACAGTTAAAAAAAATCCCGCTCTCCCATCTAACCCCTCTATTCCGCAAACTTTCAGACCCGTCCTCTTATATGGCTTCAATTTTTATCAATGTAGAAGGGATAACAAAGATCATAAACTTATTTTTTGGTTTGTAATAAATGAAAAAAAAAAGAGTGAAATTGTTGCATATTGTATCAGTATTTAAGTGAAATATTGAATATCGTTTTGTTCGAATTCGTAAAATCATGAGCTAGTCAGGCCCAGTCGTAAGATTTACGCAATTAATGTTGCGGTTTTTCGCTTGGGATAAATCTCAAGGCCAGGCAAACCTGATGCAAAATCACAATCCGTATCATTGGCTGTAACAAAATCAGATAGATGTTTTATTCATTTTGCTTAATGTCAGACAATGACACATTACCATTCTATTAATGCATAATGCAAATCTAGTATAATTCTACAGCAATCAGAATTATACATTTTTTTGCCGTGTAGTGGCATAAGATAAACCGTCACCCCATCCCCCCCCCCCACCTCATTTTTGTGGTTGTCGTAAGTGGTAACTATGGGAAATGCTAAATGATATGGCTATTTTACGTCAGAGTTAAAATATCTAGACTTTCGACGGCCTGCAGCGTCAAAGTTGCGAAACGTCTGGCATTGCGATTGTCACAATCCGACTGACAAACGTGGCGGTTACAAATTATACTTACAACGGGAGGTCCATGTCCAGCAGAAAAAGAAATTCACATTTTTACATCCTATTCATTGATTATTTATTTGTCCGACAGTTTCGATTTAAGAAATATTTTTACGCGCAAATCAGCAATTTAAAAAGGAGGATCTTACTGTAACTAGATTTTGAAGCCTCTGCAGGAGAATCTTGAGATTGAGAAACAGCGGATGACGCTTGTCCGTTTAATTTAGCTAAAAAATAAAAATAATTAAATTAATGTTTTATCGTCTTGTTGCTGGGTGAACTCTTAGTCTATGCACAGATGTCGTTGAATGCGGTTGTTGTTGCCGGTTTCTTTATCAGGCTCTAGCATTCTTGCCTCCTTGCAGACGTGACTTATATTATTATGTCTTAGATGGCCTGTAATAATTACACCTCTATATGAGGGTAGTCTTTGTTTAGCAGTGGAGCTATGATCTCGTCGTGGCTGTAATGATGATAATCTCTCTAGCATTACATAGTGAAATTATGTATAACACTTATTATTATACAGAGTTATTTTTCAAAGAGTAGCAAAGTTTTAAACTTAAGTTCAAATATATAAATAATGACATACAGTTATTACAGTTTTTGAAAATGCAAGTAAATAAGCTTCTACTTTTATTTGAAATTATCCCAAATTTAATGTGATATTTGGGCAACAACTACACGTACGCGCGCTCCTCTGTATGCGATTCAATTCACAACGTTTTTGCTACAGAAATCTTAATAATAAGACACTAATTAATTATTACGATTTCTGTCGTTTTGCCTAGCGATTGATCCTTAGGAATGTGTGCGTGTTTGGTGAAATAGTATGCGTCAGATATTTATGAATGACAGTCAGTTAAAATATTGCATTACCACGCATTTTGAATTTAAAAGATAAAAAGGACAGAATGTTGAAATTTTTTTAATTAATTTTTCTTTACCATTTGCTTACATTACTTATTCTGGACCTTCTCTGTAAATTTGGCTGGTTATTGCAAAATAACCCTGTGTATTTATCACAACCATAATTATTTATATTGTACCTTTTCAAGTAGTAATCATTACTATTTATACTCATAACTAATTGCCAAATGGAAACATAACTGTCTAGTATATTAAATTTTTAAATGAGATTTCAGTGAAGCAACGATAACGAAAGAATACTCCGAATATCTTTGTTATTTACTGCATGGTTCAAATTAATTAATCACCTTCAGCTGCCTGAGCTCGTCTCCTTTTTAGTGCTGCCAGCAACTCTGTGTTACTTCGGAAGGGGCGCACACCGCCCGCGACTAGTTTCTTGCCCTCTGTAGAGGAGGTTGGCGCCTCTGTGGACGGATCCTGAGGTTCTTCTTCTGGATATTCCGCATCATCTTCATACTCCACTTCCTCCTATAAAACATATTGCCACAATTGTTTATTCCAAAATAGCAAATGCCTACAGCTTCAGTACGTAGTTTTTATTACACTTGGAAATTAAAATAGATTCTTAGTTCATATTTCCAGATTTATAAGTTAGATTATTAGATATACCTCTCATAGCGGGGTTACTTGCTATATCTGCCACTGCAAGTGGTTTAACAAACCCCCACTAGATGGAGTGATGGTCTGATTAAACATGCAATGGGTATATTTGTATATGTATTAATTTTATATGGTTTAGATGGATGGGAGGCCTATGTTCAGCAGTGGACTTGTGAAGGGCTATAATGATAATGATGATAGATGAATGGATGCAGGTGGCTCAGCTCAGGAACGTCTGTGGAGGCCTTTTTCAGTAATGGATTTATGATGCGTTAAATTATAACAATTCTACTTTTTGTCCTGGGGACCCAAACAAGATTCAAATTAAAAATAACAATTTACTTAAAACTGATTTTATAATCAGGTATTTAAGAAGTCAAACGTATTGCATAATATAAAAGATTAACAAGTGTACGGTTTCTGCTCTTCGTGATACTTATTATAATATTTAACATTTAAAGTAGGTATTACGTGAAAAAGATGAACATAAAGGTCAAACTAATTAAATGGTTGTAAAATGTCAATTCTCGTAGCTCACGAATATGCAATGACACTAAGACTTGATCGACATGGAAAACAGCTTGAATACAATAATTTAAAATTTTGTACAGCCGACTTCAATATACTCGTAAGTTATTAAGAATAACTCAAAAACTATTGGTCTGACCTTGATCAAATTCATATGGGACCACACGAAAAGTACCAGCTTTCAAATAAAAATTCATTTCAAATAAAGGTTCACCCAGTAAAAAGTTATGAGGTAACACACATAAAAAAAACATAGTCGAATTGGGTACCGTCTCCTTTGTGGAAGTCGGCAGAAAATCAACGTTATATTTTATCATAAATTAATCTTATGATAACATGTTATATTTGATTTCTTAATATATCTATGCACTCTATGCATGTTTTAAGGTGGTAGGACTTCTTTCTTCGTTTTCTATGGGGTTTTTTTTTATAGAATTAGAGTGACAAACGAGCACACAGTCCACCTTATAAGTGGTTGCTGTGGCCCATAGACATCTACATCTAACTTCGATAACGAATCAAAATGCAGATGCGTTGTCACCAGTGAGGACTAAGATGGATTGCCTCGTTCCTAGTAAAAAGGGTCTCCAGTTCTCTACACTCACCATACGAAATACTGTAGCGTTAAGCTGCCATTTTACGGTGGTATTCTGTGAGAGCGTGGTCCTTCGGCCGAGTCGACCCATTTGTGCTACAACTATACTACTAATATAGCTGCAGCATGGCTCTACCACGTTAAAACCAGCACGTGTTTCGGTAGGTAGCACCCTCTTACCAATTTTTAGCTCAGTGCTGACTCTGCTGTGATCCGGTGTGAAGGGTACAGAGAATTAGTATAATTAATTACAGACTTCGAGATATCCCATCTTAGTCCTCAGATATAAAAATAAATCCATAGCATCCATTATTTGAAAGCGGTCACAGGTTTCCATGGGCTGTAGTAACCATAATCACGGGGACTGTAAGGTCGTTTCGTACTTAATAGTTTATATACATAGCATTATTAGTATATATATATATATATATATATATATATATATATATATATATATATATATAGTAAGCTTAAAATGCTTGTGTTCGAATTAGTTCACGACAGTAGTCAAATGGCGGATCCGAACCCACGATCTTTCGAGTTCGCGGTCCGCACCCTGCCATTAGGCTACTGGCGCTTCTAATATATTATTATTGATAAACGCATTATATTATAGATTAACAAATACAAATAAATTAATTTCTAGCGTCTAATAAAATGAAGCGTCATTCAAAATAATATTTATTTCATGGTAATATAAGAAAAAGTGCGTAGGAGATGGATATACCATCTCGCTTCTTTATAGCCACCAAGGCCGTCAACACTACGGTCATACGGGCTCGTGACGGAAAAATCTTACACTTTTTCTCGCCTAGTCCCCATCCGCCACATTCGTACCGTCCGATAAAGAACTTCGTTCCAAAACGCTGCTACTTCCAGCAAGACATTACCTTGAAGATTGCTCTGCTTTTTCTAAATACCAACATCACCTGTACGTGTTTACTTTGGTTACGGTGAAAAATCCTACAAATATTGGTTATAAAAATTTAGAAAGCTAAATTCTAATTTCACAGACTGGTTGTAATAGGGTGCATCATTATCAAAGGCTGTACTAAAAAAAAGGTGTGTTGGATTTACTGTGGGATAGGGAACATTCACTACACCTTTACTTTTATAAAAAGGTAACCAGACATAATATCTGAAAATTATCACTTACTCAGTATTGCTTTCAAACTTTGGAAAATATTACAGATAAGCAGAATCCTTACACGTGTACTTTTACGAACTTGATCATTTTTGTATTGAATGTGCTAGGGACATATCTAACACACTTTTTTCTACAATAAGTTTTATCAATGAATATATCAAAACAAAAATATATATGAACATAAAATCATCAATCAAATCAAATACATATTTCTTTTGATCGACGCCCCATACAGGAGAAAATCATAGTGTGGAAGTATTGAGAACAAAAGACAAAGACTTCGTATATTTACATTAAGGTTTCATCAGCTTTTATTTTTTTTTATATGACAGTGTGTACGTAGGAAAGGTTAGTTCACTTCCGCGTTGTACAATTTAGTGCTAAAATTTTAGAACAAACAACGTACGTACAACCTCGAAAATGTCTCGGCCATAGAGCGGGCTATCTTAACTTATCGAGCACCTAAACTTATCGAATTTGTTTATTTTTTCATAGAATATAAAAAAAAAACAAATTAAATAGATGTGCCCCAACATGACATGAAATAGTTATAAACATAGCTTTACATTTGATATAACATTTACACGAATTTTTACGATTTCATTATGGAATCTCTATAATGTAACCTATACACTACTGTATTCTGTTCTTACACGTTAAAATAGCGATTGTCATCTTTATGATTTTTTATCTAGCCAATTATTATGATTCGCGCTCCAGCACTTCACTTAGTACATGTACGTGTGTTTAATTTTTAAAATGATTTTATTTTGGGACAATCATTTTATTTTATTAGATTTACATAGGATCAAAAAAATTTAAAAGTACAGCAACGTCGCCTTAATAGCTAATAAGGCAATTTTACATACAGCATAGACAATACAACAACTCCATACATAAAAACATATTTTATGTTTATATCACTTAGTTATTTTGTTTTGTTATATTAATCCTTACACCGGTTTATATTTCGACACAAGAATAAAGCGCTTACACGCATTCCTATGGCAGTAGCAATATTTTCTTTACGAAACCAGCTTAATAAATTATTTTGGAGTATCGTTGGCTTGTTATACGTACGTAAGTTACAGATAGAAATTACACAGAGAAAAATGAGCTTAAATAAAGGTCTCTTACGAAGGTAATTCAATCATCGGAAACCAGTCCTGCTTACCTTGAACTACATGTAACAAGGGACATCGATTTGGTTTTCCAAAATATGAAAACAAGGGCAAGCGAAGCCCGCCAGTGCTTGGTGTATAATAAACACTCATCCTTATATGTATATGATCGTTAATAATCGCTTATTTAAATTAAATTCTAATTGTCTCTATGCCTGTCTCTTCATATTGTTGTTTAGTGTAGAGAGAGAGAGTAAATTTAAGCATTTCTGTTGTCAATTATTACGATTAAGGCGTATATTATAAGTGTTTAACATTTGCCCTTTTGGTAATGATCTTGACAAGTTTTGTCGCTTCGGAATTTTAAGTCAAAATAAGGTAAGCTGTCCCGTCACGGTACTCTGAACGACATTATCCAAATAGCTCTTGTCTCTAAAATTTTCCTTCGATTAAAGAGCATTGTGAAATAATAAGATACGATTGCAGGAGTCGCAACGGTATGACCTTAGTGCCACCGGATTAAGGCAAAGCCCAAGTGTGGGGTATTACGTGCGTAGACGCTATGACGGCCTCTCAACTCAGTGCTACCTCGTTTAAAGTTGAGACGGATTCAGAGGCTGTGAATTGAGTTAATGGCGCAATTATGAGTCTCACAGAGAACTCCATATTGTATTATTGCCATTTGCTGTACAACAAGTCTTGTTAATTCTCCTAAAGGAACTTTATCCGCGACTAGTCTGTGCCGCTAGTGACAAGAGGGCGGATTCCCCTCTCTTTCAAATACTTATAGCCATTTACGAGGCAACCACGGAGCAAATACAAAATACTTGTTTTGCTCCGTGGAGGAAACGCACCAAGCGTTTTTGGCACTTATACATATACACTATAATATGACTATACCGCGAGGAGTAGTTTTTAGTAGGCGTTGCTACGGTCAGCATCCGAGTCTATCATCAAACCAGCTCAATGGTACCATATTATAGCATTATCATCGAAGATGTATACCAAATTGCAGCTTAATCGGATGTCTAAGGACATTCGAAGAAAGCAAGTTAAATTAAAGATATAAAAAAGACATGAGGAGAACACCAAGGATTTTTTTTTTTCACTAAAATAATTCTTACCTTAATTTTGTACATAAATTAATACTGATCTAAGAATGTATAAGGTTAAGAAGGTGTAATATCTATTCAAATTAAAAATTTTGTACGCGTGGCACTGTCACCCTGCAGCTGAATTATGGCTGCAATAAACAGCTGCAGCGTGACACTTCTACAATTAAATAATGGGTACCTTTCCAGGTTGAGCCGACTCACACATTCTCGCAGAATATTGAGAAAAATGTTGAATGTTGAGACTTCTGGTGAATATATATATATATATATATATATGTGTGTGTGTGTGTGTGTGTGTGTGTGTGTGTGTGTGTGTTATGTATGTATGTTACTGACAACTAGAATTTCTTACATAGTCTTCGGGTGCGATAATGCGTCTGCATTTTGAATCTTAATCGATGATAGAGTAGGTGTCTATGGGCCACAGAGTTCACTTACCATCAGAAGGACTGTGTGCGCTTTTGTCATACTCACTTCAATGTAATAGATTAAAAGGACTTAGGATTTCTAAGTCCTGAGGTATCGACGATAACTTACTCGAATATAAAGTAATCGCATATATCGATTGATCAGCATTTTTGCCACCAGTTGGTCTTTGAGCTCTTTTGTCACGCTTACTTGTACAAAAAAAATCCCCGCTTTGATTTTTACCGGGCTGGGAATTTTAATTACAATTTCTATAACAACACACCTTTACAGCCTGTCAAAAGTCCACTGCTGAACATAGGCTTCTCCCACAGATTGTAGATGGGTTGGCAAGCGCTGTTTTTTACTTCAGAATTGTTTCTTATTAGAAAAACACTGCTGCCTATCTCCTGGTTTGTTTCCGTCTGTCGCCTCTTACGACACTCGTGGAACGATATGGGGTAGTGGACATTTTGACACCGCCACTACACGGTACGACATATCGATCACATAATAATCCAGAATCGTTTGGTTTGCTTAAATTTTGCTCAAATTAGTATGACAAATAACTAAGCACTCAAACAACATTTAGAATTTTCAGTTAATTAGGTAAAAAATCTGATGTAAACTTGCAATACTCACTCACTAAGTAGTATCTTTTGCAAATATCGCATAACGTGGTTTCAAATTTCGTTATAATCAGCCGTGACGAAATGTTCCTATCGCTATTGACGCAAAAATACACGAATAGCCTCCAATTAAGATCGATAGATTAATTGCTAACACAATGACGTATTATTACTACCAAACGTCTACTTTCTAAAACCTATGCAATTGTTTCGACAAAGCCGTTTAATCACTGCTAGTAACTTTTTTCTATATTTCGTTTAATATACATGTTAAAATTATTATTGTTTTTATATAACTAAGTCTAAGATGTAGAAATGAAGAAAGCATGAAGACTGTTTGAAATTGTGGTGTGTAACTTTTATATTTTAGTTGTTTTGTGGAGTAGCTTTTATTAATCACTAGCGATCTGCACAGGCTTCGCGCGGGTGATTTCAGGACCTATACAACAGCGCCACCTATTGGGTTCGAATGTGAAACTAAACCGTTTAGGGTTCCATTTCAACAGAAAAATTTCATCAAAATCGATCGAGCCGTTTTTGAGTTTTAGCGAGAATAACGGGCAGCAATTGATTTTAATATACAGGGATATGAAGTGGTTAATTGGTGATAAAAATATTGGTCGTCATGTGTTAATTTGATTATTAATTATTAGGTTTACGCCCCGCGGTGACACAGACAGTCATGACCCACACTTATAACGAGATAGCATAATGCGATGACATAAGCTATCGCATGGTAACTTTCTCCTAGCTTAATACTTACAACTCTTATAATTCACCAGCTTACTTTGTATCATCATCTTGTGTTTTTATTATTATTTATTACTGTTTATATTTTATTTTAACTCAATTTATTAATTTATGTACGGGAGGTGTACATAAATTATTAAATTAAGTTAATCTTTTAATTAATCTTTTAATTTAGTCTTTTCTATCGGGAAGAAATATCACAGTCCATGTCGGGCTTAATATAGACTTCTACAAAACCGCAGTAGATATCGATGAAGAAACTATTGCACCGTCAACGAATCGTAACAATCTAAAGAAACACAAACTGTAACGATTTTACAGTTAGGTTTCTTCGCTGGACGATATGAAAAATGTGAGTATGTAGTAGTAGATCTTGATTTTCTAAAGCCGTTTTGGCTGTCATCGAGGATGTTATATTTTTCTAAAAATTCATATAATCTGATACACATTGTTTTTAAACACGTTCGATAAACGTGGGCTATAGAGCTATAGTTCTATGGTTACTAGGGGTGTAAGTGTCGCCCTTTTTGTGTATCAACTCGACTCTCTCGAGTATAGCAATTATTTTTAGTGTCTAACTTCCAACTTAATTAATGTCTACATCTCTATGATTTTTTTTCATCCTTTAATCGTGAAAGAGATCTGAATTCAATTTCTTAGCTTCTGTGTTGATGTTTAAACAACGTCCTATTCTCCGAGAATAGGTACCGCTCTTTGAGCAGAAGTCTTAAATCTTCCTCGTAAGTTATCTATTTCTTTTACAAAATTACGATAACAAACCGGCACACAATCCACCTGATGGTAAGTAGATCATGTGGGCCATACATACTCACATTAATTATCAATTAAATATCAAAATGGAGATGTACTGTCACTCCTGGCAGCTAAAATGAATTACCAGTCAAAATGGGTCTCCGGTTCCCAGCACACACCATACGATACGAATGCGTTATGCAACTTTACGTTGCTATTATGTGGCCCTTCCACGGACTAATTGATCCATTCGTGCTGTATTTTTAATACAGCTACAACTTGGCTCTACATCGCGTAAGAACTATTTTTTTATTCTTCATCACAAGCACGTAACATTCTGTCTCTCCTATTTCCTTCTCTCATTATCACTCTTGAAAGGATGATTGACGATAGCAGCAGCAGTCTTCTCGCATCTTTGACGCTGCTCCCCGGTGTGAGTATCTAAAGTCTGACGAAAACGAGATGGCTATAGCACCATCCATCGGAAGCCGTGAGATCGTTCTGGCATTTTTCATAGTTTCTTCTTATGACACCCACTGGACAAAATGGGCTGATAGATTCTCTTATATCGCAACCGCACAGAGAAATCTATTAATTAATTATTATCAATGGTTACATCACAACGTAGACCTTTGTTTACATCACATATAGGCGGCAGTAGTGTAATGGTTAAGGGTGCGGATGGCGAACTTAAAAGCCTTAAATTCGAATCCGCCATTTGACTACTGTTGTGAACAACTCATATCACAAGGATTTCAAGCTTACTTGAAGTGTAAAGGTGAATATTACTAATGTTTTAGCATTGCTAGAAGTAGTAATAATTTTTAAATAAAATAATATACAAGTATGTAATTATCAGGAAGAACTTTGAAATTATACGACAAGTAGAACATGAAATATGTGACGGAGATCATATTTTTATATGGTATGGTCATAGGCCTGGTCTTGAAACTGGTTTTAATCGTAGCATTTCTATCGCAATAATATATGTAAGTGTCCTACTCTTGAACCACATCGCATTAGAATTTGAAACGAGAGCGTAATCGAGAAACGTTAAGGCCACAATCGTGTCGAAGGCAGTACGTGGAATTGTTGTCTTGGATAGAATTAAACATTAAAATGTAAAACTATTTATTGGAATGCTTTTATGTATTTACTAATAAATTCAGAAGCGATTTATTGTAAGATACGTTTTTTAAAAGTATACTCTTTTATGCTAAAAATCCCGTAAGCGTTTCAACAAATGTCTGAAAATAAAATAATCCGACGTACTTAATTCAAATATAAATTAATAAATAAAATAGCCAAATAGTTTTGTAATCATTACAGATTTTCATGTCAAAAAAGCAAAACAGGAAAAACTGATGGAGTTTTTATATCTCTCGCAACGAATCATCTGTATCCATTAGAGGATGACAAATTTAAGATTTGAAATGGAATGTAGGAACCAGAGATTCGAGTAAACATAAATAATTTAACTCTCCCACAAATTTTTGACAAACTCTTCACAAAGTAACCTGTCGTAGAACACCGAGAGACTCGCAACTCTGCGCTTGTGTTCGTGCTGTACAACTTAGCCTCAAATAATGAATGCCATATAAAATTATTGTGTTAACCTCTAACATAATACTTTTTAAATAGAACTAGCGATCTCCCACGGCTTCGTTTATCGACGTGTATAGATGCTTCCTAAGGAACTATAGTCTTCTTAGGATATGTATACCGTCGACACATTACCCATAGACTTATTATATTGCTGCTTATGGACTTCGTCATTGAACTAGAATTACGGAAATATGGCAACTTTAAAGCAAAAACATAAATTATCTTTATTCCCGATCCCGTGGGAATTATTAAAAATTAGTATTGACAAGTAATATTCAGTCAATCTTCAGTGAACTAGGTATTTATGGTTTAAGACTGAATAATTAAATTTGTTACTGAAATGAAACATTACCTGTGGCGCCGGTGTGGTGGTAGTGGTGGTTGCTTTGCCCTTAGTCAATAAGCCACGTTTAAGCAGACCACGAGCAGGCGCCGCCCGCGCTTCGTTCTCGTCCTGAGCGCGCGCAGAAGCTTGCCACGTCAGACACGCCAAAAGAAACATCCTGAAATTTCCAAATAAATATTTATATTAGGTATGCAATATGGCAATGGCAAACTATATAAACTATTTCACTTATTTAAAAAGCAGTGCATAAAAGCTAGGCACTACTTTTAGTAGTAGTTCAAGTTGAGGAATTATTTTCGAGAGTGGTAAGCCTCATGAAATTTTCTTTGTGTTTCTACTGAATGCTACTTGCTAACAATAGTACCCACTATCAACAAAATGTTGGAGTGAACTAAAGGTCACACTTAGTTAAGCCAGTGTTGAAAGAAGTTCCGGGTATTATACTCGTATTGACTTACAAATGATAATTTCTAATTCTTATATTTTGAATATTACTATTGTTGTACAACAGTCTGTCAAAAATGTACGAAAATGAAAAATTCGCATGTATGTATGTTTATCTGCTATCAAATAATACAACATGCTAATTGCTTTATTGGCCTATGGAATGCAAGTATAAAGAGGACAAAGGATCTTTGATCTTTGGAGTGCACATAAAATGTCAGGGATATCCATTTACAATAGTGACGCAGCGCCAATTCTGTTGAGTCGATACACAGGTGCAAATATGCATTAAACGCCCAAATTATTTTAAGTACGATTCAAGTCATTAAAAGATGTGTCCTTGCACGTCCACTCTTTACAGTTAAATCAGCCACTAGCCAACGAATTGTGTATAATTTCATTAACGCCCGAAATTAATAATCATAGTTGTTAGTCAACCATTACTCAATAGACTTATTATTAATATTGTGCAAAAAGATTATACTCAACATGCAAATGACGTCTTCGTAAAGAAATCGTCGGTAATAGTGTACAACATATAAACTGTTACTCCAACCGGTAATAAAAGGATTGCTAAATGCTAAAGTTCACGATGCGAGTTTCACGATGTTACGTTAATATGTGCAAATCATCTTCAGTATCGTAATATCATAACACTTTTTAATACCGCACTTCCTGCTTTGACTTTTAAAACTTGCTACCATTGAAATGTAGGCCAAATAGTTCAATGGCGTGTTAAAGTCTGTTAGAGTGGCGCGCCGAGGTTGAGAGAATGCCGTGTACGGAGGTGGGTTACTCGCAGGCTGGTTTAACATTCAATATTTACTAATCAGAATATGAGCACTGGAAAGAATGTATAAAACGAACCACCGTCTATAGTCCGCTAAAGGTCGATACGTTCCTCAAATTTTCCTGGAACAGATCACCTTCACACCTTCCAGTGCCATGTCAGATGAATGAGTAGACGATTACCCTTCGGCTTCGGATCGTACCAGTCGACCTCCCTTAGCTTTCTTTATTTCATAAACTAGGTCCAAGTGTCAGAATATATGCTTAAAATACTTCAATACTACTAAAATGCTCATACACTTCACCAACGATAGCCAGGCTACCTATTCATACGTACACTTATAACATAACTAGCTGTTCCCCGCGACTGCACCCGCGTGATTTCAGGTTTTAATTTTTTTTGCACGTAACCCTAATTATTTTTCTAAAATAAAAGTAGCCTAAGTTACTCCTTATAATATCGGCTATCTGTCAGTGGAAGTCCCGTCAAAAACGGTCCAGCCATTTCGGAGATATGCCGGAACAAACTGACAAACAGACAAAAATTAAAAAAAAATTATTTAATGATTATTACCGTATATACTTTCATATGCATGTAGTAAAAAGCTGTTATTTCGACATTACAAGCAGACACTTCATTTTTATTTATTCGTACAGATTTATTGCCTAACATAAACAAAATATGCCTTATTCATTCCTTTATATCTCAATAGATGGATTTAATGTATTATGTATTTATTTTCATTATATGTAGGTTACATCTGTATGCAACGCAGGCTTGAACTCGATAAATTATTGCCTCAAGTCACGTTGAAAAAAGTGCAGCTTTCTATGTTCGTGATATTTACTATGTGGCGTACGTATAGGCGATCTGAATGAATAATACCTAACATCACATTAAGGCCACTCAAGCAGAAACCAGAAAAAAAAAACAAGAAGTAAGTTGGCCTCGTAATAAAATGCGGTAGTTGATCGTTGTGACTGTAGGGCCCTTCGACTGTGAACAGCAGAAGTGACATAAAATACTATTTAGTATTAAAATATTATTAAGCTATTAACTACTTGATTATGCGTTTGGGACTGTAAATTTTTAAAGCATGCGATTAATTAAAATTTAAGCTATACATTATTGGCTGACTTGAGACATAGCAAGAGAATAATTTCTTACAATGCAATAAACGTAATAAACTAATTTGACCATCTTGCATGAACAGTGAATATAGCAAAGGAGTTATTCAAAGCGTCAAATTTTAAATTATGTAAGATATAAATTGGATTTGAAAGAAACTATGAAATACTAAATCGATTGTAGGTCCATACATCTTATAAATAAATGTCAATAGTCTGCTTGCACAACAATGTTTTATTAGCAAATGCCTATGTACGTAAAGTTAGTGTTGAGTAAGTGGTAGACACTAGATTTTACTTACTTAGTGCATCTCTACGATATTGCATACTATTACGCCTGTATATTTTAAAATGATAACTTTATGTAGTTATTATCATTTCAGTGTCGGTAATAATTTAATAATTCATATGAAATATGTTCTTAGTTTACACCTAAGGACATTTGTTTAATTTGTTTAATGCAGGATGTTACTTTAATGTTACAATGGATTTTTCTAATTTAAAACAATACTTCAAAAACTTAATCAGTAGTAAATTCGCAAAAAAATATTGAGGGTCACTTATCGGGATTAAAACTATCCTATCTCTCAAGTTGGGCCAAACTGCACACATTGTACAAAATTACATTAAAATCATCAGTAGTTTAGGAGTTCATCGCGGACAAACAATGTGACACGTAATTTTTATATATAAAGATAATGTATGACGGCAAGAACGGAATTTAATAATTTACTTAAAAATGGAGGTCAACAACTAGAAGTGACTGCATTTATTACCTATACACAAGTCACTTGCCATGTTTGCAATATGCAAATAACAAGTAAATTATGTTTTATGAACCACAGTATTTCGTCTTGGACTGTATGCGGCAGTACCGTAAATAATCAGTGCATGCCAAATAAAATAACCTAAGTAATCAATAAAGTAAATTAAATATTATAGAATTGAAATATTTTGAAAACGCTCAGCTATTCGATAAAACTTTCAAGAATATAAAGCTGCAAAACAAAACTGGTTTACTCGCAAGGACACATAGTATGACATTTTCCTTCAGTGAAGTTAAATCAAAAGGCTAAAATTAACTTTATTTTACAGTTGTATGACATTACTTTCGGCTTCGTCCACTTGGATATACAATCATGATCCACAGGTGGGTCGGAAAAAAATTTTTTCTCCTCTTCCATCCACCCGTGTAAGGATCAAAATAATAATATTTTGCTACGCTACTTTGATGCACTAATGTCGGGAAAAAAATTGTACCTAATGCCGCATAATAATGCGATGGTAAACACCATCTTCTCAATGATTTCTTATGTTTACCATCTTCGTATTTGTAATTTTAGAAAGAGTATCAAAGGTAGGGTTGCTCCCACCTAAAGGTCTACTATAACATCACGTTTTATTTTTGCAAGTTTCACTTGACATTCGAATAGTCAATTCTCAATTTCAAATAAATCACTACAAATGCACCTGTTAAAGATTATATAATCACTTTTAATTTCTTTGACTGTACATTTTTATCTCATGTAGAATTATATTTGTAACGTTCTACAAAAGCTCAGGCTTTGCTTGCAACTGTGACTGTTCATCCTACATAACTCTATGTTGCTTAATCGTAGGTCACGGGTCTAACTTTCAACATGGGACCGACAGCAAAGAAACCGGTTGGTGGTTTCGCTCAATTAATTTTCAAATTAATTGGTTTAGCCCACTAGGTCAGGTCGTGGCTATTATAATGAAGTTTCGAAGTCATGAATTATGAAATGAGGGATAATTAACTTTTTTGGGCAATCTGCTATTTTTCGAATAGGTTTCAATACTTATAATTATTATTTAAGATCATTTAAATTTTAATACTTTAATAACTTTGTATGACGATTTTCATAAAATTGAGTAGAAAATATTTTTAATATTTATTATTAATTCCTTTATTTTTAATATAAAAAATTTGCACCTGACATCATATTTACAACATTTCTTAAATATTTTATGTCATCTTCAAACACGGTAGCGCACGTAACCACTTTAAAGCGTAAAGCACAAATCGTCCGTGCACTTTTCAGTCATAACTCTAAGAACACTTTTGTGATGCCAACAGTACTAAAAGTGACATTAGAAAGGCAAAACACTTTTAAGAAGACTGCTAATTCGACATGCCTCTCTACAATTACTGGCATTGTATTTCACATGTTACTAGTGTTTAGTAACATAAAACAATTTCTTAGAAACATTAGAAACATCCTATGTCGCGATGCAAAATGTTAAAACAAAGGCTAAATTTACAAAACACCTTCAAATATATAGAAGTTACACTGGTTCCTATCAGGTTATTTGCATTATTATGACATCGCAATCGCTATCGCTCAGCCGAGACTTGAAACATAGATAAAGCTACATGGTATAGTAAGCGGGGTCGTCATACGTGAGATAAGTGATGAGCTACTCACAAGGGAAGTATCCTCATTTTTGGGTTGTGTTGAGCCGCGTCTGTCGCAAGAGGCACTGGTGTTGATCCTTTCTCCACGGAGCGGCTGTGTGCAGGTCCACTATGTACGGAGGCCACGCTTGATCTGCCGTTCCAACACGAACAACAGCGGTACACTCCAAGTTTCGGTGTCGCTGCACTGGTCCGCCCGCCACCCCGACACCGACACCACTTGCTGTTTTATATTCGTAGAGGCGCGCGTGTCACGACGCATACCGTACATTGTCCACATGGTAACGTCTGATAATTTGTTAACTCCCAAATGAGTAAATCCTGTTGTGATGTCCATAATGTTGTCTCCTTATGAGGTCAACAACGAGATTTAAAAAAAATTGTAACCCTGTTTACAAGGTAAAGTAGGCTACCAAAGTACAATAAAAAATTTGTTACTTTTGTTTATTTTCACATAATTTTTAATTTGGTAACTAAGATTTCCCTACGAAGTTTCATCTAAATATTTTGAAATGAAGAAGCATATTAATTAGATAGCATTACACGCTGATGTTAATTTTACAAATTTTCATTTATACCCTACACGATTAAAGTTGTTGTGGGTTTTATTTGCCTTATTTCAATAGGACCACCGCGGTTACACACAGCATTATTATAATCCCTTTATTATAGCTACTTATTAAAACAACTTCTTACATTAACAAAACATAACATTATATAGTAAATTATCCATTTATTTCGTTTCTAAATTTATTTTAATATAAGGTAGTTATCCAGAGCGGTTCCTATGCCCAAGCTTTATCACGAAAAGCAGCATGTGCCTTGAAACCAAAAACAATACCAGAGAGCTAATTTAAAAAAATCGTATCAAAAGACTTCATACGGGCTTTTCTATCCAGAGCGTATGTGTACAAAACTATACTGATAACGGGCACGATATGGGAGCGACTCGAAGCGAATATGACCGAATAGAAAGGATGGATCACCCCTCCTTTCCGAAGTTGAAATATATTACCCATGAATACATTCTGTTACTGTACAGACAACCTTATACAGCTCCAGGTATATATATGGTTGTAAAGTAGTTCACCAATACCCTCCTTAATTATAAATGAGGCATCGAATTGGTTGAACTAATTACATTTATTAAAAAAAAAAATTTATCATCGGACGACTTTTAAGTTGTTCATTGTACTCATACATGTAGTTACGGTGAGGCTAGCATTGCGGTAAAATTAACTAATGTCTAGACCGAGAGGTCAATCGGCAGGTCCAACTCCACTGGGCAGCGGTCAGGAGATTACGACACCTTTTCGTCACGTATATCTCAAAATGTTAAAAAAAGAATAACCAGTGAGTGTTGGCAGTGATGGCACATGAATCTTCGACGTGCTCCTCCATTGCTGACCGTATGAGAAAGGTCAAGGTGACTTCGCAAGCTATGGATAGTTAGCGACATCTAAGGGTCCGAAGTAGTCGTAGAAGTAACTAAGTTTCATTGAATAGCTCGTCAAGGAGAATTAGGCAATTATTGTATTTTAAGAAACAATTACAAATTGTATGGGAATACAGTTTGTAAGCGACGAGCAATGGACCATTGTTCGTCACCTACAAATTGTGTAGGATTACATTCGTTTCTTCATAATTAAAAGTAGGCGAATAGGTTTTCTCTGTTGAAAAGAGTGGCCGCCGTTTTGTAAAGTCTTGTTTCTGAACCGTTTGCATTTAAATCAATATTTAGGAGTCTACGTGATCTATGAACGTGAATATGTCACAACAGATAAATGGCTGCCATTTCGAAAAATCTTGTTTTTAGATAGATTTAGTTAAGTTGAATATTTAAAGGGGCGTTAAATCCTAACTTTAGACATGGAAGGAGAAGAGATGATCCCGCCAGGCAAGGGATTAGCCTATCACGGCGACAGCACCGCCTCAACCGTTTTGGTCGAATTGTAATTACGCTACGTTACTTGCGTAGTTTATTTGTTTTATTGCTGTTTTGTTAATAGTGACAAAATTGTGTAAACCAGAGAACAAACTGAACAACGCAAACTTTACTCTGATTGTCAGCTCACCGCAAAATCAGACATCAGAATCAGATTATATTGTATCAGTTATCGCTCACAAGTTATTCAAAATTATAAGAAAATTATTTTGCTTTAAAAAAAGCTATGACACTGCTAATGGCGTATTCAAATATAAAGATTGTTCGATATCAGTGCATTTTCGTTTTTAGTTTAAAATGTTACCTAGGTATAGATGAAGGCGTGCGAGCAATACTTGTAGTTGTGTTTTTATCTAATATACGGATATGTACGTGTTCTGTGTGAATAACTGCAGATAGCGTAAGCCAGCTCATCTTTATTGAACATAATAATACAAGTAGGTACTTACATTTGTGCTTTGTTAACAGGAGAAATAAATATATATATATATCCCTGCTCATATATTTATTTCGCTCGCATGGGCTTCTATTTAGGAATTCACTAAATACTAGCTATTTAAACGCGGCTTCGCCCGCGTGAGCTTGAATTTAGGAACATCATTAAATGCTGTTCCGTGCCAAATTTAGCAAAATTCGATCTCTTTAAGAATCACCTCGGTATCTATGTCTCTAAATCTGATAAAGAATTTTTTTGAATTCTAAAAGACTATTAGACGCAGATGATTATTATTTGGCATAGATATAATATGCTACACGAACACGTGAATACTTATACATATGTCTAGAAACACGTACTATTTTTATATCGGATGGGTCTTCCGATGTATCCATAAGAAAGGTAAATTGTCTTGGAATCAAAATTTATTGTCATTATTTACATATTACTCTTTATGTTCATTCATAATTAAAATCAATTTAGTGTTAACAAAATAATGATGAATTTCATGGTCGTCTATCAATTTACGGTATAAATTTTATTTGAGATATTTTATTCATATCATTGGTCCTATAATTTAATATTGATTTTTTACGTTCGAGTAGACTTTAAAATTTCATAAATGCAGTTCTATAATGATGTATACTATACATGGAATAAAAGTAATGTTACGAATTTTATCACGTTTAATTTTAACTGTGTTTATGGGATTTTTTATGCATCTTTGGTTGAAAGTTCCATAAAAACCCGCGTAAAAGAACATATCGTTGATGTGAAGCACTGACGCTCCGGGATGTCTAAAGTATGGAACATGTTTAGTACTAACCCAACCATTATATCGGATCTGATAGACAACAAATTCTTGCAATAGAACACCGATTCATACCAATGATGATGAAGATGCCTGAGTGCTACCATCTGCTAAGGACCCTATAGTTAATAAAATTAAATTCAAATCTAATATTACTACTGCATTTATTCTATTCTATTCCATTTTAATTCTATTCTGTTCTAACTACGACATCAGGTCGTCAAACACCTCAGTTCTCCCGTGACCATGGGTGCTTTAAAGTGTCCAAAATACCGGGAGTTAAAAAAGTTAAAACAAAACGCGATAAAATCCTTAAAATTAGCTTTATTCCTTATAAATTTTATTCACAGTGAACTTGGGAAGCACTGCACTCATAAATGGGAGTAAAAAATGATTGCCTTGTAGTGGCAGTCACAAATATCTTAATTTGTCTGAAAATAAGAAAGCTATCTTAGATTGCAAACTGATTTATAAGTCTTATTAAAGGTTAAAAAGTAAAGTAGCAGCTAATATACGTCTCACTACTGTGCACAGGGCTCTTCATTAGCTATAGTGTCTTGTGGGCAGAAAAATAGAGTATGATGCAATGCTTTAATGTATATTAATGGTTTTCACATGTCTACGACTATTTTAATTACTCAGACATCTAGGTTTCCCCACGAAGTTATTCTTAACCACTTTAACTGACAAGTGTTAAGTCAGCACGTAAAATATTCTATAACAGATTCATCCTCGAGGGAATCGTATACATTTTGCTCCCGTGCCATGATGAAATCTCACGCCGAGCAACACATCCCTCGTATTTGTTTAAATACATTTCATAAAAACTGCACCTAAGCTTTTGCATGATTGTTGACCACATCTACCTAGTAATTACACATCCAACGATGCCACGAACGAATTTTCAATTATTTACATCGTATATTCAGTAGCATTCTATAATTTAATTTTATCATTGACTTACCATTTCACTTTATTTAAAAGTACTTTACATGATTACATAAGTAATTTACATGAAATAATGAAAGCCAAAACTATACTATATAATAATATCAGCAATAGAAGCGAACATTTATTTATTATATCAAAAAGGCATAAAGTGATGTCAATTATGTTAAAAGTTTTGTTTCTGTAAAAAAAATACGCTAACAGGGCCGCTAGCGGTGAAAATCGTCATATTACCATATCATGGAATAACAACGTTGTGTTTAGTTATTAATATCTTCAAACGATTTCTATTCATTGATTTGGTCAAGTTATATTAAGACATGGTCAAATATCATGAAATGACCATAGCATTTAACGAAATGATAGACTATGATACTCGTATATGATCAATTCTACGATCTGGCCACGACATAGGTATATAAAAATCTGTTTTATAAAACTATAATGATCATGAAAATTTTGTATTAATTGCTGACAGACCAGTTTTAATAAGTTTACATATAGATTAGTAATTGAAATAAAAACCTTATCAATTTTCATATTTTTGACAGGCGTCACTATTATCTATTGAAAATATTACATGCTCTTTTAAAATACTAAAAAAACTAAACGTTACAATTTTTAAATAATTTTAAAATCTAGTTATTTAAAAATATAAATGTAAGTTATTTACATTTATATTTTTAAATAAATAGATATAATTATTTAATTTAAAATTTTCACTGTTTTGATAACTAAATCGGTGTAGTCTCAAATTAATTTACCAAAGTTATAACTATATTATCGACTTCATTTATAAATATGGTATTTATTTGAAAAAAACCCTCATCTCGCCTAGAACTAAGATATTATAGAAAACTAACACCTAAAAGAAGGAAAATACTTAA